CTGGCAGGAAGACGGAGGCAGGCTGTTGTATGTCCTCTGAGGGAGGCTGCCTCACAATGAGAGGAATGCAGCTGCTAATCACTCTGAACTCAGCCTAGCTCACCAAGCTGTCACATGCCAGGCCCCAGCAGAGGATGCTCACACTTCAACCCTGATGAACGAAACTTAAAGGGATACTACAGTCACCAGACCAACTACAGTTTAATGCAGTTGTTCTGGTGTCTGTCCCTGCAGGCATTTTAATGTAATTTTAACGGTTTAATTTCCATTTCCCTTTCATAGTATTATGGAGAGTAATGGCTATCATTTTTTATAGCTAGCACAAGGCTTTGAAGAAGGGCTAAAATAGCAATCTAAAAGTTGTTCATGGAAACAAATGTTATAAAAAATATTTAATTACATAAATTTACGAAATAGCTAGATAAGTATAATATATGCCATACCTGATATAACTTTGAAAATGTGCAGAATCAACATAAAAAGAGCGAACAAAAATAATAGCTAGCAAACGTAGGTTTTTAAATGAATATGTTAAAATTTGGTCCCTGCTTCATCTATCAGTCTATGACAACCCTTGAGCATGAGACCCACCTACAGGCAGTTCTCCTTCTCTCTGTCCAGGGGCAAGCCAAAGCATATAGTTTGCACAAGGCTCCAGGTAGTTTCCCAATGTAGGCCCAGAATAGGCTGCAGGGATCTGTGGCACGGTGGCAATCTTCTTTTTTTTAATAATTCTTTCTTTTATTGAGGCAATTAATTCACATTGCAGAAAAAGGAAAGGGGGGTTACATCACATTGGTTTCTGGCATATACAGCGTATCATAGCAGTATAATAAAGACGGTTGCGAGTACAGTGAAGAATGGTGACTACTGAGTAATATTGCCTCTTTTATTTTTGTATGAAAAAAAACAATAGAATAACATAAGCCATAATACTAGTAAAAGGTGTAGGATAACATAGGGGGCATCACCGCTTGGTGTGCAGGCAAATTACCTCATATAGCCCTGAGACGTTATTAGTGGGTGGTCCTTTCTGGGTAATTTTGTATGGGGGACTATGAGAGTTTTGGTGATGTCGTGTGACCATGGAAACACGGAGGGGCGATTAGGGAAGGGAACTTGCTGAATAATAGAGTAAACGGGCTGAGCATTAGTTAGTGACGTGCTGTATTGACTGGTTGTCGTTTATGAGCCTAGGTCATGGGTAGTACAGGGGCGGATCCAGAGCCTTATCATAGGAGGGGCACTCATAGATTATTTAAAGAAACAATCCAGGAGCAATAAACACTACAGCTCTCTATAGTGGTTATGGTGCCAGGAGTGCCGTGGCGCCCTCCCAGAGTAAATAGTCAAACCATTTAAGAACAGTTTGACAATTTACCTGGGGTCTGCCAGGATAGTGGCTGTAGTAGGGGATAGAGCATCTAGTAGTGTGTGTGTGTGGCGCAGTATGTGTGTATGGGAGGCAATGCGTGTGGGAGGGGTGCAGTGTGTGTTCGTATGTGGGACAGTGTGTATATGTGAGACAGTGTGTGTATGGGGGTGCAGTGGGAACACTCTGTGTAAGAAGGGCAGTGTGTGTTTGTGTGAGGGGTGTAGTGTGTGCACAGGAGTGCAGTGTATACATGGGGTGCAGTGGGAACACTGTGTGTATGGGGCCAGTGTGTGTATGAGGGTGTAGTGGGGGTAGTGGGGGTATGGTGGTGCAGTGTTTGTGTGGTTGAACACTGTGTGTATGGGGGTCCAGTATGTGTTTGGGGGTGCAGTGTGTGTATGGGGGTACAGTGGGGGGAGTGTGTGTATGGGGCAGAAGTGTGTTTATGGGGGTACAGTGGGGGCATTGTGTGTATATGGGTACAGTGGTGGCAGTCTGTGTATGGGGGTGCAGTGTGTGTATGTGGGTACAGAGGGGGCAGTGTGTATATGAGGTTGCAGTTTGGGCAGTGTGTGGTGTGGCAGTGTGTGTATGAGGGTGTAGTGGGGGCAGTGCGTGTGTGGGGCAGTTTATGTATGAGAGTGCAGTAGGGGTAGTGGGGGTATGGTGGTGCAGTGTTTGGGTGGTTGAACACTGTGTGCATGGGGGTCCAGTGTGTGTGTGGGGGATAAGTGTGTGTATGGGGGTACAGTGGGTGCAGTGTGTGTATGGGGGTACAGTGGGGACACAGTGGGGGCAGTATGTGTATGGGGCAGAAGTGTGTTTATGGGGGTACAGTGGGGGCATTGTGTGTATATGGGTACAGTGGTGGCAGTCTGTGTATGGGGGTGCAGTGTGTGTATGTGGGTACAGAGGGGTCAGTGTGTATATGGGGTTGCAGTTTGGGCAGTGTGTGGTGGGGCAGTGTGTGTATGCTGTTCGTGTGCTGTTCATTGCTGCCGGGGATGAAGTGACATCATAATCCCGGCTGCCAACATTATTACAGGCGCAAGGGAGCAGTGCTGGAAGATCATAAAGATTACTCTCACCCCCTGGAGTACGCATAACATGGGTGGAGAAACTGGGGGCTAGATCACCGCATCAGATATGGTGTGCAGTGGTTAGTGCCTACCAAAAGAGGTGCAAGGAACAACAACAGGGTGATGGGTGCCCAAGGCTCGCTGATGCAAGTGTGGGGCAAAGGCTAGCCCGTCTGGTCCAATCACACACACGAGCTATTGTAGCTCAAATTGCTGAATGATGGAAACATGTCAGAACACACATTGGATTACAGTTTGCTGTGTATGGGGTTGCATAGCCGCGTACCAGTCAGATTTCCCATGATAACCCCTGTCCACTGCCGACAGTGCCATGGAGCAATGGAAGAAGTTTGCCTGGTCTGACATTTTCTTTTAGATCAGGTGGATGGCCAGGTGAGTGTGTGTTGTTTTTTCTGGGGAAGAGATGGCAGCAGGCTGCACTATAGAAAGAAGGCAGGCGGGTGGAGGCAGTGTTATGCTCTGGGCAATGTTCTGCTGAGAAACCTAGATTCCTGGAATTTATATAGATGTTACTTTGACACAAAACACCTACTTAGAGATCGTTGCTGACCATGTACACCCCTTCATGGCAATAGTGTTCTCTGACATCGGCGCTGTAATCCAGTAAATGGTAATATGTTTTCTAACCCTTTCAGCGCTGATGGAGGGGAGGGGGACAGAGGGTACTATAGTGTTAGGAATACAACTTGGAATTACAACTTCATTTGTACTATTATTGACATTTTATTGAGGTCGTGTGAAAAAGCAACAGTACTTGACAAGAGTAAAATAAACACAGTAAAATGAAGCAGATAGAAGTTAGTTCAGGCAAACAGAGTCAATAGTTTTTGCACAGAACAATGAATTTCTTATTATTCAGTTGACATGGGGGAGGGAGAGTCTTAGGCCATGGTTTAATGAGAGAATGTGCGGATTGTAGGGAGGAATATATATAGTAGCAGTAAAGGAGAATGCAATGTTTTTAAAGGATTTACTTTTTATTTTATAACACTGTAAAGACAGAGCCAAGCAGTGCTGGAAAACCAGTGAAGTAAGTGAGTAAATTTGTCAGCCTATTATGATATTATTATTGGAACACAGACAGCTTGAGGCAAGTTTATAACAAAAAGGTTCCAGAAATACCCAAAGGAAATTATTTTATATCTAATGTAAAAAAATAGCACTTTACTGTAGAGTTTAAAAGGACATTCCAGTATAGAGTTAACCTCAGTTTGTTACAGATTTTCATTACTATTATTTCTAAAACATCAACATACATACCTCCCAGCAATGGGAGGAATGGATCTGGTATGGCGAGGTGGGTCATCGGGGGTGGCCTGGTAAAAGAGGGACCAGTCTGCCCTAAAAAGTGCATGTGCACTCCAAGCTTACTGACAACTGCTTTCGCCAGCTCAAAGTACAGAGCACTCCTAAAGAGCTGGTACACTGACTTGCTCTGCACTGACTGTGGACATTTCCCTGCTGTCCCTAGATACAGATAAAATGATATAGTTAGGGTGGGACACTCCATCAAATATCTGAATTTTAGTGCCTATGCCGCAGGAACAGACGTTGTTCTCCAGGCCAATTTTATAATGTAGTGACAGACACCTGAGATACAGGAAACCAGAGAGCATATTTGGGATGGCAGGACTGAGCCCCTAGTTATGGAGGGTCCCTCTAGATTCAAGATATTTGTGAGGGTCCATGTCACACTTACCAAAGGTACTTTCTACTTATTTCTACTAAACAGGGCTAAGTATTCACTTGTCTTCACATCTAAAGTTTATAACGTGAGTTCAGAGAAGAGTTTGTCACTGATAGCTAGAGATTTAATGGCATTTCCAAATACCAATTAGGTTGAATTAAGTAAAATTAAATAAAGATGAATTATTGGAGAATAATACTAGAGTGTTTGATTCCAGGTGAGATGGGGCTCAGTGGATGCGTTCAGGCTGAGCATTATGGCAAACAAATTATAACTTTTAAAATATTAATAATTTAATGTACAGAAAGGATATTAATGATACATGGGAGCAGGGTGTAACGTATGCAAAAGATGCTAAAAAGCATGATGGAGTTTTCTGTATTCATCTTGGCCTCAGATACAGACAGTCTAATTCTCCTTTTGCAAATCCTTGACATTGGAGACTTACTGTACATTAAGGAAATTACATAATAGAGAAGCACAGTTTCAATATTAGCACTCTGTATATCTGCTAATAATGTGTAACCCAATCCCAGCACTGTGTGTGTGTGCTGGAAATGTCTCTCAATCCCAGCACTGTGTGTCTGCTGAAAATGCCAGTGTGTGCTGAGAACAGGTTACCCACTCCAATCTCTGAATATTAAAGTGTTTGCTGGACCTGTTTACTGGCTAAAGGATCCCTCTAGCCCTGGGATAAAGCAAGAGAGCTAGGCCTGAGAGCTGCAAGTGTCTATTTAAAGACAAGAGCTACAACATTCCTGCCTGGAAGAAGGGCTGCAGCGGAATAGGCAGAGGGGACTATAGCTGCCTTAAAGCAGGGTTGCAGTGTAATAGGCAGAGGGGATGATACCTGCCTGGAAGGAGAGTTGCAGCCTGGTCGGGTGGAAAAGCTCCAGAAGGACCCCAGTCAAGCTGCGTCGACTGGGGTAGAAGCACTTCAGGTTTACCGGCTCCAGCAAGGAAGCAAGTTTGGCGGAGGTACCCAGCCGAGGTACAGGGAGCGCCGTCACAAGGGTTCTATAAGGGAAAGACCCTCGCCAGGTATATTACAGTCATAGAATACAAATAATTCCCAAACACACCAATGATTTTAGTACAAAAAATGTTTTTATTTCTTTTAATATATGCTTAATAAAAAAGTACACATGTGCAAAACAGTACTACAAAGAAATGCCATCAGATGTACAAAACTGCATGCATGGTAATGCATCATTCCCCTTGAGAAATCTCAAGGGCCGAAATGTTGGGTTTTTTTTGGTCTACAAGCTCTAGGTCAGTATACCTTGTATATGTTATATGAGTTTTTGGTAAAAACACTTTATGTCCTTTACTACTATGCATGCAGTTTTGTACAATTGATGGCATTTCGTTGAAGTTCTGTTTTGCACATTTGCATTTTTTTGTTAAGCATATATTATAAGAAATAAAAACTATATTTGTACTAAAATCATTGGTGTGCTTGGGAATTATTTGTATTCTAAACCAGGTTTATTGCCTTGCCCTGTGTCCTCGGGTCTTCTTTTTTATAGGAGCACTATAGGATCAGGAACACAAACAGATATTTCTGACCCTATAGTGTTAAAACCACCATCTAACCCCCCTGGCCCTATCTTGCCTCCCTAAATATAGTAAAAACTTACTTGTATTCAAGCCTGAAGCTGCTGGCTCTGCCCCTGTCTGCCTCAGACCTGCAAGCTGTCTGCTGACATCATCAGAAGTGTTGTTCTGAACCAATCACAATGCTTCCCCATAGAATTGGCTGAGACTGCAAAGGAGGCAGATCAACACAAGTCAAATGCTGCCCTGGCCAATCATCATCTCCTCATAGAGATAAATTGAATAAATGAATCTCTCTGAGGAAAGTTCAGTGTCTGCATGCAGAGGGTGGAGACATTGAAATGCTGTAATGCATACTAAGCAAGACTGCTTAAGGAAGCATCTCTAGCAACCATCTGAGCAGTGGCCAGTGGAGTTATCACTAGGCTGTAATGTAAACACTGCATTTTCTCTGAAAAGACAGTGTTTAAAGCAAAAAGCCTGAAGGGAATGATTCTACTCACCAGAACAAATTCAATAAGCTGTAGTTGTTCTAGTGACTATAGTGTCCCTTTAAATTGAGGATTTGTAAGCTGACAATTATAATACTGTTACATTTTAATATAATGTATTGTTTCAGAACTAGAATTGTGTTCAATTTCATGCATACTTAGCAATACACTGTTATGTGTTTCAAAGGCACTCAAAGAGTTCAACAAATTAAAGAAAGATAAATTTTTTATGTTGACTATTTTATGTGAGTCCAATAGATCCGGATGTGGTGAGGTAGAGTTTCTAGGTGTGGAGTCATCTCTATCAGTGGAGTCTGGCACCTCTCTGACAACTTCACCAGCTTCTACATATTTCCAAAACAGCTTTCTATCCTCACTTATAATTGGGGCACTCTTAGTAAATATAAATATTTTACAGTACATAAATAGAAGCAGTATGTTAATTAATACATTCAGTGTTTGACCAATAACCTGAAGACTATTAAAGCTCCTGTGTACGTAATAGGGGATTTATTCTGTAACAGAACAGGAAATTTTCCTTCCTGTGCCCGAGTTCCTTATTTTCCCTTTCTCAGGCACACATTGTATTGTAGTTGTACTTTTGAAGTTTTAAAAGACTGATATACTGTTATATCAAAGAAGCTGGATTTTTCCCATGCTTATGCAAAAGAAAGTGCAACTAACAGGGATGTGTCTGGTATGTTATTCCAGAGGCTGGGTGTGCACTGTAAAGTGTTGATATTATTAGGATTTGCAAGGAGACTGTTCGTCATTCATTATTCATAGGTCATCTGAAAGGCATTCCATGCTCACTGTTTCATCCAAGTCAAGATCATATGTACAGCGTGGCTGTCAGATGATGATTACTGTACTAAACTGCAATGAAGTATTGCATGTGTTCATTATCATCTGCACTTTGTATGCCATCACACAGTTTGCTAAAAAAAATATCTATTAAAAAAATATATAAAAAAAAAAAAAAAATCAAATATTTGCAGTTAATAAATTTTGAGTATGTTGTACTAAATTCTTTGAATGTTTGAGATGGTCTGAATCACCTACGGTGGTAATGCTGTGAACATTTTTGTCCACTTAAATGGTTAATGATCATTAAAATTCCTATGCGCTGATACAGCTAGGAAATTCAGATGGTACTTCATAATCATCATTATGAACCAGTGACTAGAAGAGGCATGTCTTAGTATCAAACTTAAGTCAGTAGTGCAACATGTTGTGGTGCAACATTGGTAAGACACAGTCATCAGACTCTTTCACATGTGTGTTTTACTTTTCAAGGGAAAAGGACATGCATGATATAGTATATTAACCCCTCTTGTACCGCACTGGACATAAAAAGCCACTCTGGGGAAATGTGTATGCATCTGTGTAGTGCATTATGTCATTATACTGTACAGATATACAGGTAGGGAAAAAAAAAATATCCAGACAACTCTTCAGCCCCATTACATTAACATCTTGAGAAAAAAAAAATGTTTCCTTTCATGTTTACCTGCTTCTTCTTTCTTATGCTTTCCACACCCACTCCAGGGAGGACACTGATCTAACCAATCACTGTTCTATCCCTAGGAATGCTGGAAAAGTGTACTGGGCATGCCTCACAGCTTGACACATGTGCAGTTGGAAGATCTCTTCACCTTGCATCATCTTGACAGGGGGAGAAGAGCGGGAGTCTGATCAGTGTAATCATACAGAGAAGGCTCTGGTATCGAGTTTATCTCTCCTTCTGTTACATGGTGCCAGTGGCGTACTAAGGGGCTGCAGCTTTGCCCGGGCGGTGCGTCCATGAGGGTGCACCGCCCGGGCGCAGCATGAGGAGAGGGGCTGACAGGAGGGAAGCGCTCAGCGCTCCCTCCTGTCACTCCCTCTGTTGTAGCGTGGCCGAGCCCTCTATTGGTCCGCGGGTACAGGGACCAATAGTGCACACATAGTGGAAAGGAAACAAAAGCTCCCTGTACCCGCGGACCATAGAGTACTCGGCCACGATACAACAGTGTGTAGCGGATTTTTGGATATGTTGTTCACCCAGATCAGGGCTACCAGGGGATGTATGATTTAAGGGGGTACCCCTACGTTTAGGGGTACATCCAGAAACGGAGGGAATTGCTGGACTGGATAAGGGGATTATGATGCAGGCTGAGGGGAGGAGATGTGTGGGAGGTTACCAGGACAGGATTGGCTACTGTACTAATGACTGTAAATCCCTCCCTTGCATGGGAGCATGCTTTAAAAGGCCAGTGTGGAATAAAGATTTCAGTTCTGCTCCTGAAACTGTGTGTCGTCCAGTTATTGGGATTGCTGTTGGGATACTGCTGTGTTATTTTGCCTGCTGGAAACCTTGCCTGTGGATTTACAATTTACTTGTTCCTGAGCCTCACTTGGATTATAAGCGGAGATAACCTGGGGAAGGTGGGGGAAGAAATAGGAGGAGGTGGGGGGAAAGAAACGTGGGGGAGAAAGAAATTAAGAGGAGGTGGGGGGAAAGAAAGAAATTAGGAGGAGGTGGGGGGAAGAAAGAAAAGGAGGAGGTGGGAAGAAGAAATTAGGAAGAGGGGGGAAGAAAGAAATTAGGAGGAGGGGGGTGTAACGGATCATCTGGAACCCCGACTGGGTACCTCCGTTGAAGGATGCTCCTAGCACTTCCTGAGGACTCCAAGCACTGCAGCAGACACCAAAACCACCGAACCGTAGAAGCATATGAATGCTCTCAAGCATATGAATGTTGTATACAGCCGAATAGGAAAAACCATGCGAATAGGTTTACACTCCTAGCAGTCAAACTGGAACAGCATACAATAAATCCTCCCCCAATAATGAGACAACACTTCACTTTGAGGGTTAAGCAGGAACTGACTGGACTGGCACATACAGCCTCTTTTATTCCCAATCCACAAACTTAGTACTGCCCACAGGGTTTTACAGAACAACCAATCAATCTGTACAATACACACAGACACTCCCACACAAAATCCTCCCTTCTGCCTGTAATACAATTACCTTACACAATGGGTAATCTAATTATCACAGACAGAGAAATACAGTTTCATAAAACACATCACAGGGACCCCAAAACATACAATAACCCCATAAAAAGTATATCCTTGGAACCGGGGGATCTGGGTGAACCACATATCCAAAATTCACCCAGATCCGTTCAGTACTTTGGAAGATACAGTTTAATGCAGATTCTGCAGAACATATACAGGCTAAATGAAAAACAATCACTGTATAATGTGTCCCCTGCTGTATAGTCCAAAACCACTGCACGATGTCTCTGTGCACCAAATACTGGCGAGATGGCACCGTGTTGAAAAGTCCAAACAGTGTCTGTGAGTTAAAATGGCCGCCATCCATTGTTCTCACCATGTGCTTCATCCATTGTTCTCACCATGTGCCTCTGATACAGGAAATGGTGGCCACCCAGTAACTCCACAGTATGTCCCCAGATGGTTCTTAAAGGGCCAGCAGCAGCACAACACAAATCCATTATGCCCAAATCATGTCTTTAAAGGGCAATACATCCCAGGGGCCATAGTCACATGGCAGGAGGCTGGCAATCAGTCTTCTCCTATGCCCAGTGGCGAGGTCGGTTTCGCCACAGGGGGGAAGAAAGAAATTAGGAGGAGGGGGGAAGAAAGAAATTAGGAGGAGGGGGGGAAAAGAAATTAGGAGGAGGGGGGAAGAAAGAAATTAGGAGAGGGGGGAATAAAGAAAGATTAGGAGGGGGGGGAGAAAGAAAGATTGGGAGGAGGGGGGGAGAATGACATTCATTACACACACATACACACAATGCACCCCTTGCACACAGAAAAACACACAATGCATTACACACACAGACACACATACACAAGCAATGCAACCGTTACACACAATGCATCCTTTACACACACAGAAACACACAATGCATTCATTACACACACTCAATGCACCCCTTACACACATTCAATGCATCCCGTACATACACAGAAACACACCTTGCCGCCCTTACACATACAAACACAATTTCACACAATGCATTCCTTACACACATATCAGGACATCCCCTACACACTCCACCCCCTGAGACCTTGAGCTGTGTAAAGGGCCTCCAAAAAATGGAGCTGCTTCCCGTTCTCCCAGAACATTGATTTTTTTGACCACAGTTACAAACTGCCTCCAGAGAGCCTGTTCTACACCAGACCAGTGGAGCCAGACTGCAGCTAGAGCCCATCATCATCCTCATCTGGCACTAAGCTCTAATTTACCTCACATTAAAGAAACACTATAGTCCCCAGAACCACTGCAGCTTAATGTAGTGGTTCTGGTGTCTATAGCCTGTCCCTGCGGCGGCACTGCAGCACTGGCGTTAGTTAACATGGCAAATCATATGGGTGGGGCATTGTGATGTCACATGGGGGGGATGGCAAACTTTACTTTTTGCAAAAATCCTTGCACTGGCCCTGGCTGGAGGGGGCTGTGCCCCATGGTAGTTAGGGTGCCGTGCAGCCAGTACAGCTCACACAAGCAAACAGCTGATAAACTGGCCACATGGAGGAAAAGTGGGGTGGAGCTAAGCAAAATTGGGGCGGAGCCAAACTGGCACTGGGGGCGGGGCTTAATATGGCCCTTACCCACTGCTGTTAGAAGGTGCAGCAAGATGGAATCTCTGCTTCTCCACAGGCTTCAGAGAAGGACTTCAGGGAATCCAGTCCTCCTCCATTCCACTGTCTGTAAGTAAGAGTGTGTGTCTGTGTGTGTGTGTGTGTGTGTGTGTGTGTGTGAGACTGTCTGTGTGTAACTGTCTGCCTGTAACTGTGTGTGTGCGAGTGACTGTCTGCCTGTAACTGTGTGTGACTGTCTGCCTGTAAATGTGTGTGTGGGGCTGCAGGGATTTTGTAGAAGGGGACGGGGGTTTTGTATTGGGACAGGAGTCTTTATAAGGGGGATAAGCAGGGGATTTGTGGAAGGGGGTTTGCAAAACCGCTGTCAGCCCCTCATACAAAACCCTTGTCCTGCCCCTTCTACAATTCCTGTACTGCCCCCCCCCCCCTTCCACAAATATCAACACATTCAAATTTACGCTGACCTCTCCGCGGCGACAATGGCGAGGAGGAGGGAATTCGTAGATGTGACAAAAACTCTTCAGAACAACAATATCCCTTACCGTTGGGGATACCCAACAAAATTGCTGGTGTGGTACCGAGACAGAACTGTGCCAATTCTAGAACCAGAGGTGGGCATGGCAAGGCTGAAGGAGTGGGGCCTGCATCATGCCCAGGGTCAGGCCTTCCGGAGTGGAGGATGGCTGGCACCCTTGCAGCCCCCCATTCTCGAGCCTGAAGTGCCTGCATGCCTGAAGATCACCTCATCGCCAGACATTTGAGTATCACATATGTTAGATATACGTTCACTGTTAATGTATTTTACTTGGCGAGTGGGTACAAATGTATAGAGTATTTGTTATTGGAAGGGTCTCTACAACAGAATAGGCCCGTATGTTTAATTGGAGCGGGGGCCTTTCCGCCCACGCTCATGCATTTAGGCCCGGCCCAGATTAGCGTGTGGCCTACACATCTGAGCGAAGCGCCTCAGCTTTAAATAATTCTCACACAACCGCAGGGAGTTACTCCCCATGGCGAACAGTCCCCATTCGCTCTAGACACCATCACCGATTGAGCGGCCATTAGGCCCAGAGCGCCAATCTCCAGGTGTACCACTCCCCGATAACACTGTGCCTACCTGTTATACTTTACCTGTTAATAGCCACTATTTTATGTCTGTGAATGTAACTAGCATTAGCTAGAACTTGAAAAGCCAGTTGCCAGCACAGGCGAGGGAAAAGGGGGCTAATGCGTCCCCGGCCGGCAGGGAATCCCCGGGGAGACCCCAGGGAGATGGGCATATTCAACAAAACCGGCCCATACGGCCAACAGATCTGGAGATTCATTAGCCCACGTTAGGCATCCAGGCCTGCTCTAGAATATCTAGTAGTCGCCAAGTATCAGTACCACCATAATTACTGTTAAAACGCCCATATCTGCTGGAAACCTTTCCCCATGGCGGAAAAACCTTTAACTCCCTAGTCACTGATATTGACTGAGCGGGCAGCTGGAATAGAGCACCAGCCTTCAAGTTACCGTTTTCCTATTCTACCGAGTCTACACGATGTATACCACATGCTATTGGTTGTTATTGCATGTATATGAATGTAACTTTTGTTAGCCAGTACTTGAGTATTACATGTTAGCACAGACGAGGGAAGGGGGGGCGATTATGTCCCCAACCGGCAGGGAACTCCCGGGACGTCTCCAGGGGTGCTCTATTTCTCCACTAAACAGAGAGTAGGCGCCACCAGTGGAGGCCGCGGCCCTAGCCACTAAAAAGGCACACATAGCGCCCCCCGAACATGCCTATAGGACTGGGGATCACATCTCATACCCCCGACTCAACCCATGGGACCCAGGACTACATGCTTCCTGGTGGAATCTGGGCGGGGAGGATGGCCCCCCTTGCGTTAAAGCTAACGATATGTAGGCTCTTAGACGTTCCATTTTAAAAAATAAATAAAAAAAAAATAAAAAAAATTATGATGATTGACCTGGCACGCAACACAGGGGCCTCAGTCAATCCCCCATGCGTTTTGTAAGCCTGCTAAATGGTACCAAAGGCCACACACTGGTGGAAGTCATACCAAGTCCCCCACACCGAAAAAGAGTGAGGACACTCCTCACACGGATTCGGAACCAAGCTCTGCTGGAAGCAGAGGTAATATATTCTCATCCCAAGTTCTTTGGGTTCCCCCTTTGTTAACCCTTCCCCTCAAAAGGAACCGACTCTAGCCCAACAAAGAGTATCAAACCCCGCACATACGCACAAAGGCGCACTATCCCTCGACCACATGGCTCAACATATGTTTAAGATATTCTCTTTGAATGTTAAAGGCTTGAACAGCCCTCACAAACGTAGCTTGGCAATTAGGGACATGCACAAAATCTCGGGTGGCAGTGATATGCCTCCAAGAAACCCACCTTTGCACCCACAACCCTCCTAAAATCCACACCAAACGCTATCCTCAAGCCTTCCACGCGTACTCCCCAAACAAATCTAAAGGGGTCTCCATACTGTTTCACTCGGACTGGATATTCTAACCGAGCGTATCACACATCGATGCAGCAGGGCGTCTCTTAATACTGGTAGGCACACTCAACGGTATCACCATAACATTAGCATCTTTATATGCCCCCAACGACAGCCAGGTAACCTTCCTACGCAGAGCGCTCAAAAAAATAGATACAATGAAACAAGGCCACACCATAATCAGTGGTGACTTCAATTGCAGCCTAGATCCCATGCTAGACATCAAGCGTGATCACGACAAAAACCCGACATCCGCTGCCTGTAATAATAGCAAATCACTGTCCGACCTAGCATTTGAACTAGATTTATATGACACCTAGCGCAACTCGTACCCAACGGGTAGAGACTACACCTACTTCTCAACGATCCACTCGACATACTCACGCATTGACCTAATACTAGTTGACAAACAGACTCTTTCAAACATAGCTGCAGTAGATATAGGTCTAAGGACGTGGTCAGATCATGCCCCAGTCACCGTCACTTTCAATAGCTTATACCCGGTTCGAGGGAGGGGTAAATGGAGACTAAATGAAGGACTGTTGGACGATCCCGTTGCCTTGCAAACTATCCACAAGACCGCGACCGACTACTTTAGGGAAAACGCGACCGACGACGTATCCTTACAATCCCAATGGGCAGCACACAAAACCGTAGTTAGGGGCGTTCTAATACAAATCGGATCACGCAATAAGAGGAAACATAACGAGGAGGTCTCTCGTTTAACCCTCGAACTGTCTGTAGCAGAAAAGGAGAACAAACAAAACCCCTCTACTAAATAATCCAAAACCATTGCCCGTCTACAAAGGGACCTCAACGCCCTTTCCCTACAAAACCTAGAGAGGAGTATGAGAGCTCTCAGGCTTACCCACTACACACAAGGCAACAAAGCAGGAAAACTATTTGCCAACAAACTAAAGGCCCAACGCCTCCAGTCGAAAATACGAATCGCAACAAAATATTAAAATATACAACCCCACAGACATAGTGAACACGTTAGCCACCTACTATACCAAACTGTATAACCTAAAAGATGACCCTGTGGTGATCCAACCGACACTCGAGTCCATAGACGGGTTCCTTCACAATACCGAGCTCCCACACCTATCACAACCACAAAGAGATGCCCTCGATAGACCGTTCACAGAGGAAGAGGTCTCAAAAGCAATAGCGTCCCTTCCGAAACACAAAGCACCTGGCTGGAGATGGTTTCTCAAACTATTACTATATTAAGCTAGCACAGATTCTGACCCCTATCCTCACCTCACTAAACAACCGGGGCCATGCCAAAAGAAATGTTAGAAGCGCATATAGTTACGCTACCCAAACCGGGCAAACTACCTACTAAATGCGAGAATTTGAGGCCTATCTCCCTCCTAAATGCGGACGTCAAGCTCTATGCCAAACTCCTCGCATCCCGGGTAAAACCACTCCTTACAGAATTAGTATCGGCAGAACAAGCGGGGTTTCCCCGGAAGACAGGCAGGGGATAACACAAGGCACTGCTTAAACCTGAACAGTTGGGCGGGGTCCAGCAATCAAAGGGGGGTAGTCTTAGGGCTCGACGCCGAAAAGGCGTTTGACCGGCTAAATTGGGTCTACTTAAAAGCAACCCTACAAAAAATGGGCTTCCCACACTCGTTCATGGGGGCCATTATGGCATTATACAGTGCCCCATCTGCTAGGGTCTTCAACACAGGGTTCCTATCAGAGCCACTCACAATAAGCAATGGAACCAGATAGGGGTGCCCCCTGTCACCCCTGCTATCCATCCTCTGTCTGGAACCGCTCATTTACTACATCAAACACCACACAGAGATAATGGGTCTCACCACTCCAGCGGGTACACAAAAATTAACCTTATTCACAGACGATGTCCTACTTTTCCTCACTCAACCTGAAAGATCGATCCCGACATTGCTGACTCTGTTGACCCACTACGGACGGGTATCCTACTACAAAAATAATACTAACAAAACCCAGGTGCTACCACTGGGTTTACCTGTCACACTAGTAAGCAAGTTAAAGGCAGAATAACCCTTTGACTGGAGAAACACATCCTTAAAATACCTTAAATACCTAGGGGTCAACCTGACTGCCTCCCCTGCTAAAATCACACGCGAAAACCACTTACCTTTAATGAATAGATTACAAACACAACTGGACAAATGGCAGCCACTGGAAATCTCTTGGCTGGGGAGAGTGCAGACCGTCAAGATGATGGCTCTGCCAGATATATTGTATCTATTCCGCACCCTGCCTATAGCGTTACGAGACACGCTCCTCAAGAAATTCCAATCTATTTTTAACTCTCACATCTGGAAGAAAAAAAACCCAAGAATAGCATGTAGACTAACATGGCTAGGTGCTCCTGACATAAAAGCTTATTACAAAGCATCAGTTCTAGCACAGGGCCTAGAGGCCCTAACCCGCCCCAAGCCACCAGTGTGGCTACCCCTGGAGAACGCAACTCTTTATCCAGACACAATAAGCCAAAAAATATGGTCCGCATCCGGGAGTGTGAAACCTCCCACAACAGGTCTACCCAGCACCAAATTTCTGCTGGCCAGTTGGGGAAGATGGGCGAAGGATGTCATGGGTCAAGCTCATCCACTTTTTTTCGCCCCTCTGCTCCGGTTGCACGACCTAACTAGTGACCTCCCACTGAAATTGTGGACAGAGAAAGGGATCACTTCAATAGGGTCCTTGATAACTCCACAGAGGCATCAAACAATTCCCCGAGCTGCAAACAGAATTCGCCCTACCCCCTAGGGAATTATTCACATATTTATGCATCAAGCACGCTCTAACATCTATGAACATACAACACTGTGAGGCAGAACAACTGACGACCTTTGGCCAGCGGTGTATCTCCACTCATCAGACCAGTAAACCCCTCTCCCTGTGCTACAATGCGATAAACGATGAGGACAGGACCACGAAACACCCGTATATGCTCCAATGGGAACGCGACCTGGCAGTCTCGTTCCCTCTTCCTATGTGGCTACAGTTTCTCCAATCCACCCGAGCTTTATCTCATAACCTAACCCACTGGGAGGCCTTCTGCAAATTACTGATGAGATGGTACTTAGTCCCTACACGTTTAGCCCAGATGTACCACTCAACATCGCAGGCCTGTTGGAGATGTGGAGTCGGGATAGGCACACTATTACACATGTTCTGGGAATGCACCAAACTGACAAACTTCTGGCAACAAGTCAGAGACCTGATTAAGACTACCACAGCGGTGGACATCCCTACACGCCCAGAATGTTGCGTCCTACACCTACATGCTGGAATGCTGACATCACCTCACAAAGCGGTCCTTTGTCACATCATTCTGGCCGCGACTCACAATCTACAAGATGTATCTCCATGTCTCATGCTTGTACAGTGATAAATGAATATGTCGATGTAATGTTACATCCCTCTTTTTTCCTTTCTGTATCCCTCACCCCATTTGACCTTTGTATGTCAAATAACAAAAATATTAATAAAAACAAGACACTGAAAATTAATAATATACTGAAGCTTGTTTGAGCAGGGTCCTCTTCAACCTATCATTCCTGTATGTTTTCTTGTAATTGTCCTATTTATAGTTAAAGGACCACTATAGTCATCCAGACCACTTCAGCTTAATATGGTCTGGGTGCCTGGTCCATCTAGGATTAACCCTTTCTGCTGTAAACACAGCAGTTTCAGGGAAACTGCTATGTTTACCTATGGGTTAATCCAGCCTCTAGTGGCTGTCTCACTGTGATTTTCACAGTGAGAAGACGCCAGCGTCCATAGGAAAGCATTGAGAATGCTTTCCTATGGACGGGCTGAATGCGTGCGCATTCAGACAATGACATCAGAAGAGGGAGGAGAGTCCCAGCGCCAAGGGAGCCCGGCGCTGGAAAAAAGGTAAGGGATTAACCCCTTACTCCCCCTTCAGTGCCATGAGAGTGGTACCCTGATGGTGGGGGAACCCTCAGGGCACTATAGTGCCAGGAAAACAAGTATGCTTTCCTGGCACTATAGTGGTGCTTTAAATCCTCCCTCTCATAATATTGTAAAGCGCTACGGAATCTGTTGACGCTATATAAACGGCAATAATAATAATAATAAAACCCTTAAGAAATAAATAGAATAAACGATGAAGATTCCAAATGTAGAAACCCCTAAACAAAGTTATTGGAGGAAAACCTGGGAGCAGGGTCTCTAGCAAATAAATCTGATACTTCGCTATTCTGCCATCTAACCTACATTTATAGTTTAATTTATCTTTTAGTGTTGCTTTGGTAAAAAGTATTGCTGTTTGGCTTTCTTCCCAGACTGATCTTGAAACAATTGCGTAGAAATACAAAATCATTGCTTCATTTCTTGACTCTTACTTGTTTCTCAAATGATTTATTTAAAGCACTTTCTCGGCATGAAGAAAGTTGGTAAAGCACAATTTTTTTTTAGATAAGGAGAAGAAGAGAGAGGGAAAGACATAATAGAATATAGAGCCACTTGATTTTTAGGATTTAAAATGCATAGATCTATTCCCAATGCAGTGAAATGCTGATGCAGTGATGGAGTAACTCGAATAAATGTGTTTAATATAAAGGCCCAGACAAGTTATGTCTAGGATAATACACACAACTAAGGCGTGGGTGTGTGTGTGTTCCATTCATGTTAGCCAATGGAATGGTCGAAAGGGTTTAGCTAGTCATCAGTTGGAATGTTGATCCTGGCATTGTTAGTGAGAAAAGAAGGGCTACTAATGGAAATTGGAAATGGAATTGAGCGAGGCACTGCACTTTGGATTGTCGTAGGTTTAATTTGCCTTCTTGTAGCAATAAGACTGTGTTGCCATTTGCTTTATGTGCTGCTTCTACCCTGTGCATCATATTCAGCACATAACTTTAATATGCACAGTTTTAAAGTGTCCTACACTTCCAACATTTAAATGAAGGACAATCACATTTGTGACTACCAGTGACTGACTTAAAGAGTTTCTCCAAATGCCATGACCACTTCAGTGATTTAAGATGGTCATGGTGCTTAGAGTCTGTAAAGCCAGCATTTGGCTATGAAACATAGCACATACAGAGAGCCTGTTTGGTTACAGAGACAAAGATGCACTTTGCAGCCCCCAAATTGATTCTTTGCCTGTGTGTCTCTTAACTCCCCTTTTCCCCCTCTTAGCCATCCTTTTGCCCCTTTTTGGTATATTACTACTATTTTGTGTTTTTTTCCCACCATTTTAAAATGATGTCACCATTTTTGTTTTGTTCCCTCTTTTCCTGCTTTTGCATCTTTATCCCCCTTTTGTGTTCCTACCCGCTCATTTGTCTTTTATCCTCCCTTTTGAATGTCTTACTCCCCTATAGTGTATATCAAACCCCCCCCCTTTTAAATGTCTTACTCTTTCAGTGTATTTTATCACCTATTTTGCCCATCTTGTGTCACTTAACCACCCCCCCCCCCCTTTGTCTCCTTTATTTCCCTTGCTTATTTTACCACCATGTATTTCTTAACCACCTGGGTCTTTTAAGAGAGTTTCCAGCTGTCTGTCAGCTGTAGTGGTGGTAGGAAACAGGGACCAGCGGATCCAATGTGGGGTGAGTTGTTTTGTAGTGAAAGAACATGAGAAGAAAATTTTTTATATTTGCATTTATTTATAACAAAGAAAAAAAAAACACCTTTGTATGCAAAAGGAAAAAAAATCTTCATTAACAGGTTTATTCACTAAATACTGAAATGTAGCAAATTAAAATCTGATGGCAAAATTAAGCATATATAACTATTGTCCCAACATGGCTGTTTTTGCCTGAATTTGACTATGCACAGAGTTATTCTCTAAAGTCTCAATGGTCCAGTACAATATGGGGCAAAACCCCATCATTGCAAATAGGGCCATTCAAACTGCAAAATAAGAAACATTTTAATAAGATTAAATAATGCCTGGGTTTTGCAATTCTGGCTCTGAATGAGCCGAATTTTGTATGGATTTCAACCAGACCAGCTGAAATCCAGACCCAGATTTTAAATGTCTGAAATATTTTGCCACTGGCAGAGCAAGAGGCCAATGAGTATATAGTTGAGAAAACAAAACATGGCTTTGCAAGGGTTGGCCAGTGCTTACAAAATAAAAATGTTCAGAAAATATTGTACATCCCCTCCTTCCCATTGGCCTTGGAAGAGCTGGTATTAATACAATATGGGTTGAGGTGGCTAGGGATGTGGGGAAACCTAAAAACCAGAAGGGTAATGGAGAGGATTGCACTCTTATTTGCGCGGGGGAGCAATGTCAATGCCACTTTATTTTATTAAATGGTTTAATTAATTTCAATGGCCGATGGGGGCTGATAAGGGGCCAAAGTCATCATCCCCCAATATCTAATAGGCTTTGGACATAATGTCCATGTCCCTTTATTTTTCAAATGGTTTAATTAATTTTTAGTGATCGGTGGGGGCTGGGAAGGGGCCAAAGTCATCATCCCCCAATATCGAAAAGGCTTTGGACCTCTGGACACCGGGGAAATGGCACCCACTCGAGATGGATGACAATGCCAGCCCCATGTGACTAATAGGTTTCCCCTGATAATTTACAAGTTGAGAACCTGTTAGCCGTTATTGCTAGCAATGCATTAGAACATACACGCTGGCGATTAAAAATAAATAAATACTGAAACTGCAAAATAAAATAACAAAAAAGTATTACAAATATTTACATTGTAACTAGTGCCCCAAGTTAATCCAAAAATACCTTGTATTTTTAGGTATAGAACAAGTTCAAGCATACTGGATAGGAGATAACATGAAACTAGCTAAAAAAAGAACCACTAGGATTAAAAAACCTTCAGTAACAGGGAATGATAATTGACATTTATCTCTCGTATTTTAAGTAAACTACTACAGATGTCTAGTTTATTTAATAACAATCATTCCTTTGAGATGAATTCATAAATATATTTTCAATCATTAGTTTTATTTACTTTTGAAAAAAAACATATTTTTTGGTACTTTGTGTTTTGTCATATATATTTCTAATTTTTTTTGTTTATTTCATATTTATTTTATTTTACTTGTTTTCATTTCTTTTTTCTTTTTATATTTTTCTATAAACTATTTTTGTTTACTTTTTATTTTTTCTATTTTCACATTTTTGTTATTTTTTGTTAGTCTCGTATTTATTTTTTATTTTTGTTTATTTTTAATTGTATTTTTTATATTTATGTTTTTTTATTTATTTTCTTGTTACATTTTTTAATAAATGATCTATTTTTTTATTTTTTATTCTTGTATATTATTTTTGTAAATTTTTTTCTTTTTATATTTGTATTTCATTTTTATTTTCTCAGATTTTTAGATTATTTTTCTTTTCTTTTTTTTCTTTTTATAATTTTCAGTAAATAATTTTTTATTTACATTTTTTCTATTTCGACATTTTTTTATTTTCTTTATTTCTGGATCTTGTTTTCCATTCTTTTCTTTTTTTTCTATAAATAATTTTTTCACTATATTTGTGAATACATCCTTATAGGGGAATAATGACTAAATATTTTAGTGTCAATGGTTATTCAATAAATGTACAATATAGGCACCCAGACCACTTCATCTCAATGAAGTGGACTGGATGCTATGTCTGCTCACCTCCCTGCTTTTTTTTAACCCTGCAAATGAGAAAATTGGCGTTCTGCAGGGTTTAAATGCATGTAGTTTCTGTCACACAGACACCCAGTAGAGGTGCTTCTGGTGACCATCTGATTGGCGCATCATTTTACATGTGCACTAGTCTCTTGATTGAATTAACTCATCAATTTCAATGATCTCAGCCAAGGAAGCACAGATTCCCCTCAGAGACCTGCGCTGCAAGGAAAAAAAAGTTACGTAAAATAAAATTTTTCCCCCTGCTGGTGGAGGCCTGAGATCTAGACGGCCAACAGGGCACTATAGAGTTAGATATACACATTTGTATTCCTAATAATATAGTCTTACTTTAATGAAATTTCCTTTTCTCTAATTTTAGATGTTTGAAATGTACTTTATAGAGGTTCTTTCTCTTTGTATTATTGTACCTTAGTAAATAAAAGTAACTATATAATGAATCAAGTCTTCTAATGTTACTTAGAGTATTTATTAGACTTGTGCACACATTCTTTTCGGCTGGTATGAATGAATATAATTCCTCTTAATCTATGCCCAGAGAAATTGATCAATCCTGAATTAACCTGTGGATTCCTATTCAATCAAATTAATTGAACATTATTCAGTTAATAAAACTCCAAAGGTAAATCCTGGATGGATCAATCTGTTCTAGTGAAAATTAAAAGGCATTTGATTCAATCATACCAGCTGAAAAGAATTGTGCAGACGTCTAGTATTTATCTTTAATACATTTGTAATCATCATATATATATTTTAAACAATTTTAAATTTTTAAGTATTTTTAAGCTATTTATAAAACATTTTGTGAAGGGTTACAAAATACTAAAACCATCCAGACAAAAGTCAGGGTTTAGTGAAAAACCCTGTCAGATTTCTAAATTGCTACAATTCAAAATGTAGTGAATTAGTGATCCAGAGGAAGGCAAAAAAACTTGGACATATCTTTAGGAACATGTTCAAGGAAAAAATTCCTTCCTGACCCCATATTAAGGCGATCGGCTACAAAGCTGTCCCTGGATCTGTAATAAATGTATTTCATATGAATACCATCACCCTGCCTTATTTTACATTACCATCCTATTCAGATCCTGTTTAGGTCCTTGTGCCAGTAATACTTCTCAACAGACTTCTTGCTTGGAAACCAAACACAGCCATTAAAATATTAGCATTATCCTGAAGGTTTCAGTTTGTTCTGATAAAAGATATAAAATCTGATGAGTATATGGTCATGATGTAGTCTTTGCTTAACACTGACTGGCTAAAGAGGATGCAGTCCCTTGTTAGTTAAACACCCTCAGCTTATTATGATGTAAGATGCATAATGACATCACAGTTTAGTTGCAACCTTTAAATGACGACCTTTTTTATTTTATCTGTTAATGGATGTCTATTGATACAGTTTGTACATCAAAAATAAGACCATACTGGCATTGCATTATTATAAAAGCAGACAATAATCTAAAACATCAATAAAATGTTATTTTCAAAATAAAAGCAGAAAAAAAATAGTAGTATATTTGTTTTTTTTTTTATTTTATGATTTTTTTAATTTTACAGTAGCCAATTTCGTTAAAAGGCAGTTAAAAGTAAGATCTCTAATTCTGCAAACAATACAGATCATTTAAAGGACAGTGTGTGCTGTATAAGCAGGAGATACCCCTCTGTTGTTATTATTGTTATTATTGCCATTTATATAGCTCCAACAGATTCCGTAGCGCTTTACAATATTATGAGAGGGAGGATTTAATTACAAGAAAACTTACAGGAACGAAAGGTTGACGAGAACCCTGCTCAGACGAGCTTACAGTCTATAGGAAGTGGGGTATAAAATACATTAGGACAGGAAATAGCAATCAAATAAGGTGGGAGTGAAGCAGAGCTGGAGGAGAGAGTGCTGCCCTTTAAGAGAGAGCAAGAGACAGCTATGTAAGGTAGAGGTTACTCTGGGAGGCCATAAGCTTTCCTAAAGAGATGGGTTTTAAGGCACTTCTTAAACGATTGAAGACTAGGGGAAGTCTGATGGGGGTAGGCAGGCTATTCCATTGGAAGGGAGCCGCCCACGAGAAATCCTGCAAGCGTGAGTTGGCTGTACGGGTGCGAGCAGCAGACAGGAGAAGGTTACGGGCATAGCGGAGGGTCCTAGAAGGGGCATACCTATGGATCTGTGAAGTGATATAAGAGAGGCTAGAATTGTTCAGTGCTTTACATGTATGGGTTAGCACTTTGAATGGACTCCTATAGGATACAGGGAGCCAATGTAAGGGCTGACAGAGAGGTGAGGTGTGAGAGGACCGACTAGAGAGGAAAGTCAGTCTGGCGGCGGTATTCATTACAGACTGTAACGGGGCAATACGGCTATTGGGAAGACCAATCAGAAGAGGGTTACAATAATCCATGCGGGAAATTACTAGAGCATGGCCAGAGTCAAGTATGACGCCAAGACAGCGCGCTTGCAAGGATGGACTTATGTGGATACCACTGACTTGAAGGGAGAGCGAGAGAGGAGGATCAGTATTAGGAGGAGGAAAGACAAGGAGCTCAGTTTAGTGAGATTGAGTTTCAGAAAGCGGGAGAACATCCAGTCAGAGATGGAAGAAAGGCATGCTTCATGCTAGAGTTAAATCTAAGCCAGGACCCAGGGCCGGATTAACATAGGGGCTGATGGAGCTGCAGCTCCAGGCCCATGGAATAGGCCCATTGATTTAAAAAAAAAAATAATTTTTTTACATTTTATTTTCCACACACTACTCTTAGGGATTCCACCTGGCTTTTATTTTATTGGCACAGCCAGTATTTGAGGCTGCCTGGCTGGTGCCAATATTGCAGTGATACTGGCAATACAAATGCCGGTATTTTTCTCAGTATAAACAAGAGATTACTGTGCAATACCAGCACTGGCCAGTAGGGGTTGCTGTATGTGGAGACAGGCAGGGATAGGAAGTTCCAGCATATCCCTCCCTGCCTATCTATACTCACTGATCTGCAGAGAGATCAGCTACAGAGAGTCCAGACAGCAACTCCCACCCTGCAGAGACAGCCTACAGCTCAGGGAAGTAAGGGATGGGGGGAAAAGCTGCAAGGAGACATACACTGAGACACTAAGGGACATTGGGAGACATTATGACACAGACACATGGGGACACAGTGTCCCCATGTCTCCCAGCCAGTGTCCCTGGTGTCTCAGTGCCCCCTAGTCTCCCAGTGACCCCTAGTCTCCCAGTGTCTCACTGTCCCCATGTCTCAGTGTCCACATGTCTCCCAGTGCCCCCATGTCTCAATGTCCCCATGTCCTCCAGCCAGTGTCTCTAGTGTCTGTGGCCCTGGTGTCTGTGTCCCCATGTCTTCAAGTGTCCCCTATTATCCCATTGTCCCCATGTGTCCCAGCTAGAGTCCCCTTGTCTCCCAGTGTCACTGGTGTCTCCGTGTCCCTAGGTTTCCCCGTGTCCCCAGGTCTCTCTGTCCTCCTAGTGTCCTAGTGACATGGGGACCCTGGGATACATGGGGACACAGGGAGACATGGGGCATTAAGACACTGTGATGCACAGGATCACTGGGAGACATGGGGCACTGAGACACTGATACACAGGAACACTGAGACCTGGAGTAATCGACACATGGGGGCACTGAGTCATGAGGGCACTGGGAGACATGGGAGCACTGGGAGGAATCCATCTATACAGCAGAATCAAACTAAGTAGTTTTTGGTGATTTTACAGCATTTTCTCTTATGTCACTCCTTGTGATTTACATCATGTGATGTCACCCATACATATTTAATTATGCAAATTAGTAAGGCCGGTATGTTTTTCCAAGAAAGGTGGCAACCCTAACTACTTTTCACATACTCTTACTTAAGTATGTAAACTTAAGCGGGATGTATGGGAACAAAACTTGTGTGGACTGGCTGACAATGAAAAGGGACACTATAGTCACCAGAACAACTACAGCTTTTTGAATTTGTTCTGGTGAGTAGAAACATTACCGTCAGGCTTTTTGATGTAAACACTGTCTTTTCAGAGAAAATGCAGTCTTTACATTACAGCCTAGTGATAACTTCACTGGCCACTCCTCAGATAGCTGTTAGAGATCCTTCCTGGGTCATGGCTGCCTCAAATTCATCCAAACATTCAGTGTCTCCTCCCTCTGCATGCAGACACTGAACTTTCTTCATAGAGATTCATTAATTCAGCCATGGGGGCTAGATGGTGGTGTTAACACTACAGGGTCATGAATTCATGTTTGTGTTCCTGACCCTATAGTGATCCTTTAAGGTAATGCTGACTTTGGTCTCTCTAACACTGTGGCATGTTCCCTTTCTTCTACACTTACTACATACAGCTTTTCTCTCTCCCAGACTATATACCAGGAGCTTCTGCCTGGTAGTAAGAAGGTAAGGAGACAAGTGGACCAGCGAGTGCTAGGGGACAGTCCTTAGAAAACGTTGAGTGAGCGCATCATTAGATGCATTTATGCCAAGCTCAGGGTGCTGTCTGCATAGTATGCCCTTAGTTGTCCAGCTGCATGATTGGCAGGCAGCCTGACATGCATTCATGCCAAGCTGGCCTTCTAATTCTTTGGACAGACATGTCCTCTTTTTGGGCATGTTCGCCCCTTTTGGCAGGTTACGTGATTTGTGTCAGTGGCACACCCTTTTAGCATGCCCATTGACTTCCTGCTTGACTGGACACTGCTATTAGGGGTTATGGATTTATTTGAAAGATGAAAACATAAATTAGAGAGAAATTAGCCTAGGGTATGTGTTTTCTTATAGCTGCTGTTTTCTTTCTCCCCAGCACCATCTCCATCTCCATCAGATACATGACGCTTGGGAGTGCTTTAGTGTTTTTGGTCGATATGATTCTGTAATTAGGCCTGTCATAATTGTCAGCACAAGGCCCACTGGGCTCTTAATCTGGCCCTGCCAGGACCATGCTCAACTAATACTTTCAGCCATGTCAGTGCAACTCTGCTTGGCACTGCTTGAAGCAGGGGTGCAGGCACAGTTTAATTATAAAACTTAACCGATTGTATAATCTGCAGTGCTAAAACCTTAAAAAAATATACTAGCAGTCACTCACCCAATAGGTAATAATCCCACAAACCAATTATAGTATTGATAATCCAATAAAAAAGGGGAAAATGCTGAAGGGAAAGAGTAAAAAAGGGTTCAATAGATACATATATCTAGATATTCAAAGCAAACCCTTTCTCAAGTTTTTGCACAGTAATACATTTACATACATTAAAAAAGGTTTTTTTTTGTTTGTTTTTTTAAATATACTTGAAAAAAAACTATTAAAAATCCTGTTCTTCCTTAGAGGCAGAGCATCCCAGTACCTCAAACATTATAAAAGGGAGAAGACAGCAGTATATAAAAATACTCATATGTTGTTTTACATTAAAACAAACTAACATTTATAGGTTACATATCACACTCTTACACTTCAACAATGAAGCAATGAAGTCCTTTACAGCTGTAAGTACTGTCTTAGCCTGTCCAGGCCGAGACTCATTTAGTGTTCATTCAGCAACTAGGGCAGGTGTAGATCTATAAAGTACTTAATACATATTTGTGTCAGGATAGTTACCAAATGTGTTTCACTCTTTGCACATAGCCTCTTCAGTGGTATAAATGGCAATTAAACATTGGTGGGATTTAAATGTCCTCGTCATGCATATTAATGAGGGGGGATGTCACATTTCTAACTATTCCGACATAATTATCAACAACTAAACATTAAAAAATGAATGAAAGAACCCCAATTATAATTGAAGAAAATTGTATTTATGCTATTTAAAGTTTATATACAGATTTGCTATGCATCTATTATGATTTTAGATCATTTGTAACATTTGTTTTACACATTTTTGTAATGTTTAGTTGTTTGTAATTATGATGGGCTAGTTAGAAGTGTGAAGGACATCCCTCCTCATTAATAAGCACAATACATTTAAATGCCACCAATGTGTAATCGCCCTTTATACCACTGAAGAAGCTCTGTGAAAAGAGTGAAATGTGTTTGGTAACTATCTGAGAAGATGATTGAGTTTTTAGGACTTTATATATATACACCTGCCCTAGCTGGAACACCGCCGAATGAACACTAAGGGAGTCTCAACCTAGACATGTCAAATCCCAGCTAAGTGTGACTTAAGAGACAGAACTGACAGGTGTAAAGGAACTGTAGCCTGGATGAATTGCTACATTGTAATGAGTACTTTAAAATACAGCTATCTTCTATTTTTTTTTTTTTTTTTTGAGGTACTGGGATGTTCTGCCTCTTAAGGAAGGCATTTTTATACTGTTGTTAGGGACAATTTTATTCCCTTTTTAAACTTTATATATGTATTATTGTTCATAAATTCAAAAAACAGGTTTCTGTTAAAGATCTAGATATATGTACCTATTTTTAATAATATTGAACCCCTTTTTTCCCTTCAGTGCACACCCCTTTATTTTTATACTTATCAAACTGTTCTAAAACAGTTTAAAAACTACAGTGGGAGGGCATCAGGACACTAGAAGATTAAGTTAAACTAGAAAAATGGTCAGAGTTGTGGCAACTGACATTTAATGTGGATAAGTGCAAGATAATGCATCTTAGACATAAAAACCCAAGGGTAGAGTACAGAATTTTTGATAGAGTACTAACCTCAACATCTGAGGAAAGGGATTCAGGGGTAATTATTTCTGATGACTTAAAGGTCTGCCTAGTTCGCCTTATAGGAAGCGCCGGCCCTGCTTGGAGTTCTGGTACTGTCTGAGGCTGATTGGAGTGAGCATGCAGCAGAAGCTCACTCCAGTCTCTCCTGTACATCCATGCTGCTCTCTTCTGCTCTGCTGCCTCCTCCCTCCAGTCCTCCAGGGTGGACAGCTCTCTGTGAAGCAGGGAGGAACTGGCTGTCACTTCCCCTCTGCTGGCTGATATCACAGGGGCTCGGTCGGCTCTTAAAGGGCCAGGACCCGACCGGGCCCCTGATTAGTGAGTAATATGTGGGTGTTAGGAGCCACAAATCATACACAATATAATGGAAATCACACACACACATCAGATTGTGTGTGATTTCCAGGATATCGTGTATGACTTGCAGGTGTCAGGGAGCCGCATTCAACATACGGGAGTCTCCCGGAACTACCGGGAGACTTGGGATGTCTTGATTCCTTTAATTAAAAAATCCTTTGAGGTGACAGTTGTCCTTAAAGCTGACAGGCTTCTCTAAAGAAGTATGTTTTAAGTAATTTTGAAGGCGTGCAAAGATAAGAAAATTTGAATGTGGCATGGGAAGGCATTCCATAAGGAGGGACAGCCCTGGAGACGTCCTGTAGACGAGAGTCATGGATAAGCATTTTGGTTGCGTCCTAAGTGAGAAGGGTTAAATGTCAATGTTTTTAAAGTGAAAACATCTGCTTCCACATGTATGGATGCAAAACCCCTCTTACAATGATCAATGAGCTTCAACAGACATAATTGTTTTCAATTTGACAGTTTTTATTTAGGTTTTTCATTTGGGGTACAGAAAAAAGAGAGGGGGATTGGGGGAAAATTTCTTGTCTTTGCTTGCTTTGACTTTTTGGCATTGTAACATTTATACATTTATACATCGTCATTTACGTCTAACAGGTATTTCCAATAAGTGTTTCTCTACAGTCTCTGTAATATTTCTCCTGAGGTGTTTTGCCATCTTACGGTTACAAGCATATATGGTTTTTACACCAGGTCAGATTCCATACCTCATATTTGTATTCTGTATAACTGTTATTTTTACCCTGGGTGGCCTCCAGACATAATTTATATCACTAAGTTCTCCGTTTAATTTATTGCATGATCAACACTTTCATTAAAACAATTATAATTTTTATAGTTTTATAAGTGATTTTTACATCAGCTTGTAGTAAACAATATGACGGAGGAAAATCCTTTACTTGCACATTTGATTCATTTCAGGAAATTGCAGCTGATCATTTAAAAAAGGTTGACTTTGGGATATAAAATATTTTTTATACAAATAACTATGCAGAACATATTTAGTGTAGAATTTCCTTTCAATTCATAAGCATTTATACAATTATTTTAATCATTTATCCAAGAAAGTTCAAACCATCTAAATGTTCTAATTGTAGGTCTGAATGTGGGCATTGTTAAAGGGGATTTTTGGATTCCTTGGTGTGGCTTAATCAAAAGTAAAAAGTCAAAATATTTAGGCATGTTTTGAGACAGTTGTTTTGTTAGTAGGATGTGGTTGATATTTCAGTGGGCAGTCAGCAATTTTATTTTGCAGACAAGCCATTTTGTGTCACTGCCCTAAAGTCTTGATGACTAAGCCTTTAACCATGTAATGCCACAAAGTTAATGATATATCAGATGGATTTTTTAGTTTCAGCAATGTAGGAAACAGGAAACAAATAAATTATAGTGGTGACTAAGGCACTTTGATTGCACTTACGGTAGTATCAGGGCCAGATTAAGAACCCAGTGGGCCTGGTGCTGATAATTATGATGGGCCAAATCACAGAATCGTATCGACCAAAAACACTAAAACAATTATACCTCCCAAGCGTCATGTATCTGATGGAGATGGCGTTGGAAGGAAACTCAAAGGATGCAGCTATAAGAAAACAAATACTCTATGCTAATCTCTCTCTAATTTAAGCTATCATCTTTCAAGTAAATCCATAACCCTTAACAGCAGTGTCCAGTGAAGCAGGAAGTCAATGGGTGGGGTAAAAAGGTGTGCCACTGACGCGAATCACGTGACCAGAACTGCCAAAAGGGGCGAACATGCCCAAAAAGGGGGCATGTCTGTCCAAAGAATTGGAAGGCCAGCCTAGCATTAATGCATGTCAGGCTGCCTGCCAATCATGCAGGCTGTCCAACTAAGGGCATACAATGCAGGCAGCACCCTGAGCTAAGCATAAATGCATCTAATGATGCGCTCGCTCCATGCTTTCTAAGGACTGTCCCCTAGCACTCACATGTTCACTCCTTTCCTAACCTTCTTACTAGCAGACAGAAGCTCCTGGTATATAGTCTGGGACAGAGAAAAGTTGTATGTAGTGTAGAAGAAAGGGGACATGCCACAAAAATCTGGATTACCTTAACTAATTTTATTGTCAGCCAGTCCACACATGTTTTGTTCCCATATATCCCTCTTAAGTTTCCATATTTAATGGGACACTATAGTCACCAGATCAACGACATCTTATTGTATTTGTTCTTGTGAGTAGAATCATTCCCTTCTTTTTTTTTTCAGTAAACACTGTCTTTTCAGAGAAAATAACTCCACTGGCCACTCCTTAGATGGCTGCTAAAAGTGCTTCCTAGGGCAGTACTGCCTAGAGTGCAGCACTGCCATTCAGTGTCTCCACCCTCTGCATGCAGACACTGAACTTACCTCATAGAGATGCACTGACTCAAATGTATCCCTATGAGGAGATGCTGATTGGCCAGGGCTATAGTAGACTTGTGCTGGCTCTGCCCCTAATCTGCCTCTGTGACAGTCTCAGCCAATCCTATGGGGAAGCATTCTAACTGGCTCAGACCACCACTTCTGATGATGTCAGCAGACAGAGTCAGTTCAGAGGTAGACAGTGGCAGAGCCAGCAGCTGCAGACCTGAGAACAAGTAAGATTTTACTATATCTAGGGAGGCAAGAGGGGGCTAGATGGTGGTTTTAACATAATAGGGTCAGAAATACATGATTGTGTTCCTGGCCCTATAGTGTTCCTTTAAGCAAGAGTATGTGAAGAGTAGTTAGGGTTGCCACCTTTCTTAGAAAAAAATACCGGCTTTAATTATTTGTATAATTAATTATGTATGCGTGACATCACATTATGTAAATCACATGGAGTGACATAAGAGAAAATTCTGTAAAATCACCAACAAACTACTCACAGTTTGGATTGCTCCCTGTGTCTCCCTTTCTCAGTCTCCCAAATAACCCAGTGTCTCAGTGTCCCTATGTATTACCGTGTCAGTGTCCCCATGTCGCCCAGTCCTCTAGTCTCCCAGTGTCTCAGTGTCCCCATTTCTCCCAATGTCCCCATGTCTCAGTGTATCCCCATGTTACTAGTATACTAGGGGATACTGAGAGACATGGGGACACGGAGAGACCTGGGGACACTGAGACATTTAGGGACACTGGGAGACATGGGGGCACTGAGACACATGGGGGCACTTGTGGATACAGACATGGAGACACTGGGAGACATGGGGACACAGACATTTGGGGACACTGGGAGAAATGGTGACACAGAGACACTAGGGACACAGAGACATGGGGATACAGACAATGGGAGACATGGGGACTGTGGCGGAACCAGCCTCACCACTGGGCATTGGAGAAGACTGATTGCCAGCCTCCTGCCCTGTGACTATGACCCCATGTTGAAATGCTTGATTTTCCCCTGCAAAGACCCGAAAGCCGGGTCATTTGGTACTTTCCCTTTTTGAACAGTGATACCCCATATAGCTATGCCATGGAGCCCATTCATATAATGAAAGACTATGTGAAAGACTTTGGCTCCATGGCAATTGAACTGTATGTAAGTGATCTGAGCACCATTCAGTAATAATGTGCACTCAGATCTAAGCTATCTGGGGATATGTTGAATGTACCTGTTTTATGCAATAGCTGCACAGTTATATATATTTAGGCATTGTATTGTCTTTTGCTACCATGTGGCTAATGGAGTTTTGCTTCTGTCCTTGGAGATAATTGGATTACTTCCCAATTATCTCCAGGATAGAAGACTCTGTGGAACTGGTTTTGTGCAGAAAAGCCATGCTTCATTTGGTCACAAAGGACTTCGATCTAACTCTTGACCCACTGGACCAATTTGTATGATGTTGATGTATGTTTGTATTTTGAGTATGCTGATTCTGAAAATGTAAGTTGCATGTGAATGTGATGCATACTTTTAAAGTTATGAATATTGTGTAAAACTGTGTATTTTCCTGCCTGTGATAATTACATTAACCCATTGTGTAAGGTAATTGTATCAAATGCAGAGGGGAGGATTTTGTGTGGGAGTGTCTGAGTGTATTGTACGTGTTTATTGGTTGTTTTACAAAACCCTGTGGGTGGTACTAATGTGTAAGAATGTGTATATATGTGAACAATAAACCCACAGCTCTGGCAGTTCTACTTCACCCTCAATTTGGAGTGCCGTCTCTTATTGGGGGAATCTGCTACAAGGGATTGCTATGCTTGTCATACTCCCTTGCTAAATCACTACTAAGCTCTTGTAAGAGCTTGTTCCTGCCTTGCTCTCTAGAGGAGTCTACGGTGGTTATGGTGTCGGCTGGAGTGCTTGGAGCCCTCAGGAAGTGCTAGGAGCATCCTTCAACGGAGGTACTCAGTTAGGGTTTCCATCGATCCGTTACGGGGACACAGACATTTGGGGACACTAAGACACTAGGGACACTAAGAACCATGGGAACACACACTGGGAGACATGGGGACACTGGGAAACATGGGGACACTGAGACACTAGGGACACTGACTGGGAGACATGGGGACACTTGTGGACATAGCCAAGGGGACACTGGGAGACATGGGGACACTGGGAAACATGGGGACACTGAGAAACTAGGGACACTGACTGGGAGACATAGGGACACTGAGACACTTGGGGACACTGGGAGACATGGGAGCACTTGTGGACATAGCCAAGGGGACACAGGGAGACATGGGGACACAGACATTTGGGGACACTGGGAGACATGGGGACACTAGGGACACTGAGAGACATGGGGACCAAGACACTGGGAAACTGAGAAACTAGGGACACTGAGAGTCATGGGCACACAGACACTGGAAAACTAGGGGACAGTGGGAGCCATGGGGACACTGAGACACTAGGGACACTGGCTGGGAGACACTGGGAGACATGGGGACACTGTGTCCCTAGTGTCTCTGTGTCCCAATGTCTAAGTGTCTCCCAATGTCACTATGTCTCACAGCGTCCCCATGTGTCTCAGCGTCCCCATGTCTCACAGTGTCCCCTAGTGTCTCATTGTCCCCATGTGTCCCCAGGTCTCCCAGTGTCCCCTAGTGTCTCTGTGTCCCCATGTGACCCCTAGTGTCTCAGTGTCCCCATGTCTCCCTGCTGCCTTTCCACCCATCTCTTACTTACCTGAGCTATAGTCTGTCTATGCAGGTTGGGAGCTGCTGTCTGGATTCTCTGTGCTATGTAGCTGCCTCCCTGTGGATCAGTAAGTAGAGAGAAGCAGGGATATGCTATAACTTTCTTTCCCTGCCTCTCTCCACAAACAGTGACCCCTACTGGGCGGTGCTGATATTGCAGAGTAATCTCCATGTATACTGAGAAAAATATCTGCATTTGTATTGCCGGTATTACTGCAATACCGGCATGGCCAGGCAGCCTCAAATACTGGTCAGGAGTAGTGTTTTAAAAAGCAGTATTTTTTTTAAATGGGTCTATTCCATGGGCATCGGCCTGGAGCTGCAGCTCCATCAGCCCCTATGTTAATCCGGCCCTTCTTAGTATAGTAGGTATTTTAGAGACATTATAATCTTCAGCCCTATAAAACTACATTTTCTTCTCCTGTTTCAGTATCCCCTTAAAAACAAAATAAAGAAACATAAATAAACAACTCTGCATCTGACAAATCTGATGAGCCTGCCATTTTTACAGGAGAGCGGGATTAACCATAAAGTGACATTAGGCGGCTGCCTAGTGCATAGGAGTTAGACAGTGGCCCCAGAACCATGAATTTGCTTCTTCCCATTAACCATCCCAATGCGGGAAGCTAGTAAACTGCCCTGTGGGATCTTAATCTCATCTTAATCACAATGCATCTTGCTGCATTTCCAAAAAGGAGAACTGTAACTATTAATTTGTCTGAATTATACAAGACCCAATTTCTTCACTCATAATTTGTCTGTGTCTACATAACACAATCACATCATCTACACCTCTCTATACTTTTCTAAAATAATAATTTTATGTATGCATGTAATAAATTGTGTGTATTTAAAAGGGAGCTGTCACTTTCCAAGATTTTTAATATAATATTTACTTATCCCAATATTTAACAAATGTGCATTTGTGATGTGTGAAAAATAAAATGAAATGTAGGAATCCACACCTCTTTATTAGGCCAGGTGGAGATGGACAGGAAGGGCGATAGTTTACAGTCATGTGAAAAAGAAAGTACACCCTCTCTGAATTCTCTAGTTTTACATATCAGGACATAATAACAATCATATGTTCTTTAGCAGGTCTTGATGAACAACAACATATGATATATTACACTGTGCCATGATTTAAAAAATATAGAAGCCCAAAAGAGGAGTCACTAGGATGGGTTGCTTGTGCCAGTAACCGAATGCTGTTTTTTTTCTTGCCAGATATTCTTTCTGCTATAGTGAGATTCAGGATTGGCAGTCAGGTATAGACTGGCATACAAACTAGTTTCCATAGCCATATTCTCAAAGATGCCCGCTGTAATTAAAAGCTCAAAATAATTTACTGGCATACAAACGTCAGTGCTGTTTGTGAAGCCAGGAGTTGCCAAAAATGTGAGTATTTTTGGAGCACCAGTTTGTGGGCACCCAGTTTGTCTTAGATACATTGGATACATTCTGAGTGTCAACTTGTAGATGGTGTTATGGTGGGAGCACCATCACCAGAAGCCTCACTTGGGGGCTCTATAGTCTATATATGAGGCAGTATGAGCTTCACTGTCAGATATATTAAAGCTGTATCTCCTCTGACTGAGAAAAAAAAATCCTTACCTGCCTAACACAAACTACCTCAACGCACCAGCAAATCCCACTTCCAACTAAAAAAAACCCTATAACCAAACGCAAAAAATTGCAAGAGCCGCGCGCACATTCAGCCAGTCCATAGGAAAGCATTCTCAATCACAGCGAGAAGCGCGGAAGCACCTCTAGCAGCTGTCAATGAGACAGCCACTAGAGGCTGGATTAACCCTAAAGTAAACATAGCAGTTTCTCTGAAACTACTATGTTTACAGCAGGCAGGATTAATCTTAGATGGACCTGGCACCCAGACCACTTCATTGAGCTGAAGTGGTCTGGGTGCCTATAGTGGTCCTTTAAATGAACAAAAAAAAAAATCCAAAAATCTGACCCTCTTAAATATCAGAAAATATCTGGAACGTACTGCTGCACTCATCACTCTGATGTCAGAATTAATCTGTGATCACCAGTGAAAGGATTAAAACCAGAGTTGTTTTTTTTTTCTTTCCCCAAATAACTGTTTAGACCTGCAGACACTGTATTCAATGATCCTTCTGCCTCCAGTCTTGTCTAAGATCAAAATGATGGAGCCAGAAGGAGAGGCAGGCTACACTGTCACAGTCAATGTTTGGATTAATTGGCTGTGACATTGTATAAACAAAGTGAACTCCTAAACTACTTCATTAAAATACATTTTTAATTTTTTTAAATTATTTATTTTGAAGGTGGTATCATAGCAATACAATACGAAAAGCCTCTCCAACATAACATAATATTAGAAATTTGGCATTTATAACGGACCAATAATAATGAGTGATCAAGTTAGGGAATATACCTCTCTCCCATCAGGGCACTCACACCTGTACTCCTCCTCTCAGTAGTAAGCGATAAGCCACCCCATATAAATCAGGAATCTTTCCCGGTTGGGAGCGGAATCAATGAGGCGTGTAGCATTAATACTTGAATTTGCCTCTGCTAATGTTCGATTACAGGTGTTCTGTGTTACCCTCCTGTTCCCAGCGGCATGTGGGCTAAGCTTGTGTCTGGTGCTCTAGCTCGTCAGGGTTCCCCCCCTAGCACAGCCACCCCCCTCGAGGGCTTGTCTTTGGATTATTGTTAGGCTGGCAATATTGTTGCCCGGGGCTAGCCATATGTCAGGTATGTGAGTCCCTCATGAATGCAATCTAGTGGATGGGCAAGTAATTGAACAAAATTAAACCATAACACAAAAGAGGTGGAACTGAAAACTATACCCAAGTACAACCTGGCTGCCTATGGCAAGTCCAACTTTCACTGTATATTGTACAGGAACCCCAAGTTATGTAACATGGGCTGCATGGTGAGACAGTCTACGGAGGTTCTCGGGTTCTGCCCTGGACTGATCCTCTCAGTCTGGGAGCCGGGTCAATCAGGTCCGCAGCTATGTCCCATGGTTGAAGCGGCATGGGAGGCAATTTCAGTGCACTGAAAAGCTTTGTTGGATCTTCCCCTGTTGACAGGGCTAGCATGGAGTTGCTGTGGGGCACCACCAGAGTTCCAGACGCTCCCTATTGATACCTGATGTTGTGATCTCTCAGAATCCTAGTAATCGACTGGAATCTTCTCTGCTCCACCAACACTGCAAATGGTAGGTCATCAAAGATTTTAATCTGGTTGTTCTCCACAGCAACACTAGGGTGGCTTCTGGAGCATGTCAGGAGGGATGTCTTGATCGCTATGTCCCATGTGACCACTATGGTGTCTCGAGGTGCGTCAGCAGGAGCAGTGGGGGCCTTCCAGACCCTGAATGCCAACACTATGGGCGACACTCCACTCTCTCCCCACACTCCCAGTGCCGCGGCCACTTTATTAGCATAGTCCATCAGGGCCTCTTGGTTCACAGATTCTAGAACCCCACGGAGCTTTATGTTCCTCCTGCGGTGTCCTGCCTCCAGCGTTGCAACTGATTTGTTAAGTCTCTGTATTTGCAGGGACATGGTGTCTATTTGGCTTCGGGTCTCGGTTCACCCTTTCGGGATCCCACAAGGTCCGCCTTTTTGATGTCCCCTTCAGTAGATGGGGATGTGTCAGCATCAGAGTCTGTTCTCCGGTGTAACCCTGCTGGGTGCCTGTGAGCTCACTGATCCTTCTTCCCCCTCGCACTCATCCGAAGTGCTGGAGCCTCGTGCTCTGCCGGGGGCCATCTTGGGCTGTGCCTGAGGTTGCGGACTATCAAAGGACCTGCGGATATCGGACTGGTATGATCCCTCGGTGTGGGCTAACTTTCTGTGTTTGCGCCCAAGCTCTCTGTTGCAGAAAGTCTCAGTTTATGCACAGTTTTCGTGGCTTTATGGCTATTTAGTAGTCTGTGTAGGCTGCTATTTCATTGCTCTGCTGGCCACGCCCCCCCTTGACATTTTTGATAGACAGATGTTCGAAAGATTTTGACCATGTAAAAATTTAGATAGTCCACAGTGCCTAAGTTAAAGGATGAAAACTCTTCCTCAGTCTAGAGCAGGGGTAGGCAACCTTTTAGCAGCACTGTGCCGATATAGGATTGTGATGTCCTGTAGCATTCCGGTCCTATTTTTTTAAAATTGAGGAGTGTATGCTGCCGTATTCTGTTTGTGTTATTTTTACTGCAGTTGCTTCGTATCATCGTATTTGTGTGTATATAAGCTATTATATTGTATATGTTCATTAGTTTATGGTATCGTGTATGATATATATGAATGTGGGCTGCGTATGGGGGCTGCTTGTGGAATTGTGTGTGGATGGATATGTCACATTGTGTGTTTGGTAGTGTGTGGGGACTGTTTGGGGTATTGCATGTGGTGTTGTGTGCATGTATGTGAATTGTTAGCGGGTTACGTTTGTGCAGATTGTGTGTATGTTTGTGTGTGGGCTGTTTGTATTATTTGTATGAGGTGAGGGTTATTCTGCATTTCTGTGTATATCTAGCAGTGTGGGTGGCTTTCCTGGCTTCCAGTCAAGGACAGGAGCTGCAACAGCAGCTGCGGGCTGCTCTACTACAGTGTGGATTTCCATTCACAAGTGCTGGGAGGAAGTGATCTGAGATCACTTCCTCTACGTGCTGCATGCTTAAATTGAGGATTGTCCTTCACCACCTCTTTGTATTTGCAGATATCTGAAGTTTGGTATCTGTTTGGCTCGAGCAGCCTTGAGTGCCGTGCAAAGACGCCATGAGTGCCGTGCATGGCACTAGTGCCGTAGGTTGCCTACCCCTGGTCTAGAGAGTTCAGTTTAACTAGTATTTGTCATTAATTTCTCATATATACAGTGAGGGAAAAAAGTATTTGATGCCCTGCTGATTTTGATAGTTTGTCCACTGACAAAAAAAAGTTCAGTCTATAATTTTAATGGTAGGTGTATTTTAACAGTGAGAGACTGAATAACAGCAAAAAAAATAAATCCAGAAAAACATGTCAAAAAGTTATAAATTGATTTGCATGTCACGGAGTGAAATAAGTATTTAATCACCTATCAATCAATCAGCAGCAGAAAAAGTAAATGAAAATTGCAGTCAGGCAGCAGGCAGAAGTAAATGATCAATCTAGATCTAGGTCAGGAAGCAGGCAGGAGCAATCCTCCAGGGAATCATGGATCAGGAACATAAGCTGAAAAGTAGGGCAATAGGCAGGTATAAAGCCATAAGCAAAATAACCAAGCACTGACTGGAAGGTGTGCTTGGTTTAAATAGGTGGCTGGGATCACATGACTGGCCACCTCCCACCAGTAGGTCAGGGACTCGGCGCCATTTTGTTTTACACCATAGTCCCTGACCTGTTCCTCCCCTATGGATCTGCAGCTCTCCTCCTCCCTGTGCAGAACGCCGGGTCCGCATGGCGCTTGGCGATGGAAGAAGCCGCGTGGACCCAGGAGGGGGGTCTCCAGGAGCGGCGAGTACTGCAATTCTGCCACGAGGGCGGCGCAGGTGAGGGGCAGGTGAGTACCCGGCTGTGGCGTGACAGGTGGAAAGTCTAATAACTTCCCTTGAGAATGGATGTGGTATAGATGCGTCAACTTCCTATATTGCCAAGGTCTAGCATGAAAGGTAGGGATACAATACGGGAGGGCCATGATGGGGGTAGCCAAGGAGAGGTGACTCGAGGAGCTCAGTAAGGACCTTGGGTATCCCAAACATGGATGCTGAAGGTTATCTGAGTTGGCGCTGTAGTAAGGGGCGGTCAGAGCAGTCTAGGCAGCAACAATATGCTGGGGAGATCAAAGGGTTGTATCAAATTGCGTTCCATTGTCACACTTTGGGGCTGAGGGCCTTTGAAAAAATAGGTTAAAACTGAGGGTACAATAGTGGCGTGAAAGTATGTTTTCACATCTGGGAGCGACAGACCACCTGCCTTCGTTGGTGCTTGAAGCACCTTCATGGCCACTCTAGGTCTGGAGTCTGCCCAAATGAATCTAGTCATTGAACATTCTTGAAGTAAGTCTGAGGGGCTGATATAGGGAGTGGGCAAAAGATATATTGTAGCTTGGGTAAGTTAGACATCTTGAGTGCCACTATCCTTTACATCCTTGTCAGGTACAGTGGCCCCCAATGGAGAATTTGTTTGCATTCATTCTATACTCTTATGTAGTTCCCCGTATACAATTCTGCTGTGTTTTTGGTGAACAATAACCCTAAGTATTTAATATTATCTTTCGTCCACTCAATGGAGTATTGATCCCGAAGCGTAACTCTATCAGCTAGTGGTAACTCTATGCTCAATGCCTGGGTCTTGGACGTATTAAGGGAGTAATATGAATGCAGGCCATATTCCTTAGTGAGGTCCATGAGTGGGAGTTAAGAAGTTTTGGGCTGGGAAATATCATCTGCGAATGCACTAATCTTGACTTCTCGTCCACAGACCTATATCCAATGAATGTCAGAGTGGTCCCTGATAGTGTTTAAAAGGGGTTCTAGAGGTAGTACATACAATAAGGGGGAGACTGGGCACCCCTGCCTAGTCCCATTGGTGATCCTAAAGGGGTTGGATAGAAATCTCGCCTGCATTAAATGGGCTGTCGGAGCTGAGTTTAGGGCAAATATTTGTCTTATGACCTGTGGGGGAAATCCATATTTACTTAATGCATGCCTCAGGAAGGGCCAGCCGAGGCGGTCAAATGCTTTCTCAGCATCTAGAGCTAAGAGCAGTCCACCCCTGCTGGTCCTTCAAAGCCGCTCAAGTACCAGGGATAATTTGCGGGTATTATCTAATCCCTGCCTCCCCTGGACAAACCCTGTTTGGTTGTCAGATATTAAGGCCAGTAAAATGGGGCTCAATCTGTTAGCCAGTATTTTTGCGTATATTTTCACGTCTGTATTTATGAGGGAGATAAGGCGGAAGTTTTTTCATACATCATTAGGTTTATCAGGCTTGGGGATAGTAATGATTGTAGCGAGCAAAATCTCTGGTGGGAGTGAGCTGGAGTCAGTAGCCTCGAGGTAGACCTTTAGGAGATGAGGTGCTAGAACCTCTGCATATGTCTTATAATAAGTGTTCATGAGGCCATCCACTCCCGGGATTTGCCTGGGGGTAGACCCTTAATGGCAGACAAGACCTCAGTATGGGTTATAGGTTGTAAGAGCTCCTTAGTCATCAATAATATGGGCTATTTTAGTTGCAGAGTATTTACTGTGGAGTCTAGAGGTCAGGTATTTGGTCGCCTTACCACTATTGTGATAAGTGTTAGCTTGCAATTTATGGAGAAGGTAATTGGTCTTCTCTGTGTTATGCTCCACTAGTTGACCGTATAGCTTGGTCAGCATAGCCGCCAATTCCTTCAATGGTTGTGTCTTATTTAGAGAGGCTGTTAGGGCAATTTGCTTATGGCAGTCTATTAAACTGGCAGTTTGGCGTTTTTTAAGAAAGGAAGATCGCGTATAAACAAGCCTCTAATGACAGCCTTGTGCGCAGACCATACTGCTAGATCAGACATGTCCTTATCGGTATGGGCTTTGAAATATTCTTGCATTGCCCTGCAAAGAGTGGAAGTAAAATCGAGGTCTGAAAATAAGGAGTCGTTAAGACGCCATGTCCCTTTACCTTTAACCTGGAATTTATCAAATAGTTCTAGGGTGACAGGGCCATGATCCAACGATGTAATCTCTCCTATGTCACATCTAGAGAGCTGGGCTAACAATGCTCTGTCTAAAAGGAATGCGTCAATCCAGGTATAAGTATTATGTACCCGCCAATAGAATGTGTAATCTCGCTCTACAGGATGGAGAGTTCTCCAAGCATCATATAGATCATGTAGATATATAGGTTTGGTAACACACCCTCTCTCTGGCTCTATGACTGCGACCAGTAGTGGGGGCAGTTGTGTCCAAGGGAGTCTGGGTGAAATTAAAATCTCCGCAAAGGAGTAAACTGCCCTTTTTACACTTGTCAATTTTGCTAAGCAGCGAGTGGGATTAGGAAAATATGTCGAAGCGAGCGTATACTGATTGTCGTTAAACATGCCAAGTAGAATGATAAACCTTTCTTTTGGATCAATAAAATGTTTTTGAAGCGTAAAGGCTACATCTCTGTGTATGAAAATGGAGACTCCTTTGGTCTTACTATCTGACATCGCATGGTATTGGGTGGGAAAATGCTTGGTGAACAGAGCAGGGGTATGTCCTTTTTTAAAGTGAGTTTCTTGGATACATGCAATGTCAATTTTATTTTTTGTAAGATCTCTGCGTAAAAGTCTCCTTTTACCAGGGGTATTTGGACCTTTTACATTGAGTTAGGTGGCTGGGATAGGAAGGAAGTCACAATATATCTCCTAGGATTTGGAAGAGTGGTGTCTGTGGTAGTCCCGAAAAGGCATTGTATCCGGGCACCTGAAAGCTTAGGGGCCTTGGTGAGGCCTTGGTTCGATAATTAGTCTGCTAGAAAGGGTGAATAAGGAGGAAAGGGTAGAAGCAGGGCTAACGGGCACAAGGGGAGTCAAAACTTGAGGGTAACATACCTAACTAGACTACCTATTGTGAGCCATGGTGCGCCAAGAAGGTCTTGGTCACAAGTTGCGGGGGGCATGGTGGTGAGCATCAGCACAGAATAGAGCAGCTCACTTACGGTAGTGAGGAGCCAACTTTGAAAGCAAATATCAGTGAAACCTGTGCTCAGCTATGGAACAGCTTTGTTTGTTTTTTAAATCTGCCCGTGACCACCTCCTGTCCGTTGTCCGCACCCGTACGGCCAACTCGCGCTTGCAGGACTTCTCGCGGGCGGCTCCCTTCCTATGGAATAGCCTGCCTACCGCCATCCGACTCTCCCCTAGTCTTGCATCTTTTAAGAAGTGCCTTAAAACCCATCTCTTTAGGAAAGCTTATGGCCTCCAAGACTAACCCCTACCTCACATACCCGTCTCTTGCCCTCTCCTAAAGGGCAGCCCACCTTATTTGATTGCACATTCCTGTCCTAATGTGTTTTACACCCCACCTCCTATAGAATGTAAGCTCGATTGAGCAGGGTCCTCTTCAACCTATTGTTCCTGTAAGTTTATTTGTAATTGTCCTATTTATAGTTAAATCCCCTTTCATAATATTGTAAAGTGCTACGGAATCTGTTGGCGCTATATAAATGGCAATAATAATAATAATAATAATAAAATCATTTTTTTTTTTTTTTGTATTTTACATAAATAGGAACACAGAAACAATAGTGGTTAGCTGCTTAAAATAATCAGCTTCACAGAAGGACAGAGCGAGAGCCTTAGCCCGATATCCCCAGTGCCCTAGGCAACGAGTGATCGCTGCCAAGGTGTGGGGTTGAGGTTAAGCCTCCTGGTGGGCATAGGGAGCTTGGTGCCAAGACAATAAGATAAACAGTGAAACTTATGAGCAATAAACATTCAGTATGCGTAATATACCCATGATATGATTAGGGCAATATGCGCCCAACATATAAGATAAGGGAGTTTACATCCCATATAGGGCTACCAGATACTTGCCATGCAACCATCATGGCCGTGCAGCTCTCAGCTGAGTGTCCATTCCGGTGGCATCCAAAGGGACTTTTGTGTCTCTTTCCTCTGCAACAGCAGGTGGTGGAAGGCCCCAGTCCTTGAATTTTGCTATACCAGCTTCAAGAGAGGTCACTCCATGGATGGCATTGTTATAGTGGAGTACCAACTTTGCTGGGAATCCCCATCTATAGGCAATGCCTTGAGCTGGTAGTGTGGTTGTAAGAGGTGACATACTCTTTCGGAATTGGAGGGTCGTGGCCCAGAGATCTGTGAAGATCTTGAGGGCTTGATATGGCTCCGGCATCCCTGCAGGTCTGCAGGCCTGCACCAGCCTCTCTTTTGCGTGGAAGAAGTGCACCCAAACGATGACATCTCGGGCAGTAGAGCTAGGTAGGTGTTTAGGCCATCGGAGCCTGTGGGCTCTATTGATGAGTAGTTGGTCTGGGTGAATCTCTGGTGCTAGGGCTTGGAAGAAATCCAATAAGTAGTTGTTGGGGGCTGGAGCCAGGACCATCTCAGGAATGCCCCGTATGCGCAGGTTATTCCTCCGAGCCCGATCTTCTATGTCAGCGATTTTTAGCTGGTGATCTCTAAGGATTGCATCAATCTACTGTAGTTGGTCTGCGAGGCTGTTGTAAGCCTCAGTGAACTCATCCATTTTCTTTTCCACGTGAGATGTGCGTTGGCCCATATCGTGGAGTTCTTTACGCAGAGCCGTAGTTAATATGTGTATTTGAGTTTTCAGGTTTGTCTATATGTTCTCGGAGAATTCTGCCTTCATCTGGCGCATAGTTGCTGTAGTTAGTGGTCTCTAGTCCGGCAAGGATCCTGGGAAGGCAGGGGGCGAAAGTGATGCTTCTCTGGAACAGAGCTTGCCGCCATCTTTGGATGGGCTTCAGCCTTCCCGCGCTTTCAGTGCGGAGGTCTTTGCCAAGAAAAAGGATGCTCTGTCCGATTTGGAAGTTTACTTTTTTTTGTCTCTGTGACATGGTGAAGTTGACTCGTACTTGAGGGGTAATTATTGCTTTACAGAGCGATTATTTTGAGCTCCGTCACACCCCAAACTCAGGAGCCTCACAGCCGTGCGGTCATTCAGTTCAGGTGCCAGGCCACGCCCCCCAGTTTCTTAGTTTTAATGAATTTGCAAAGATTTCAAAAATCAGTTTTTTGCTTTGCTATAGGTGTAAATTGATGTGGAAAAATTATTTCATCTTTTTTATAGCACCAACATATTCTGCAGCACCTTACAATTGTAAAAAGGGGATACGTGTTCCTAGCTTGCAGCGTTGCAATCTATAATGAATGCGGCGGCAAGGTTTATCTTCCTGTTCGCCCGCACCTCTCACCTCTGTCAGTCCCTACATTTGCTTTCTGTAAGATATAGGTCTCAATTTAAGATTCTGGTGCTTGCATATAAGTCTACATAATGCTGCTCCAGCCTACCTATCCCCCTTAATACACAAGTATGTCCTGTATAGGCCTCAGCACTCTGCCAAAGACCTACGTCTATCCTCTGCCCGTACTCCCACCTCTGATGCTACCTTTAAGACTTCTCCAGGGTTGCACCTTTTTTGTGGTACTCCCTTATCCGTTAGACGCTCACCCAGACTCCATTCCTTAAAAAAATCATTAAAAACTCACTTCTTTAAAAAAGCGTGTCAATTAAATTAACAGCTTTCCCTCCCAGCACCCTAATTCCTCAACTGCAACTGTCAAAAATAATCTATTAAGCGAATACTTTTCTGGCAACCTACTTTCCTACACCTTCCTTTCCCCATTGTGTCACTACACCCTACTCCCTCTAGCACAGGCTTTCCCAAACTCCGACCCTCCAGATTTTGCTTAACTACAACTCCCATGATTCTATGAATGAAATAGATAGGCTGAGAATCATGGGAGTTGTAGTTCGGCAACATCTGGAGGGCCGGAGTTTGGGGAAGCCTGCTCTAGCATGTAAGATCACTGAGCAGGGCCCTCAACCCCTCTGTTCCTGTGCATCCAACTTGTCTAGTTACAATAACGTGTCTGTTAGTCCACCCCTTGTACAGCGCTATAAAATTTGCTAGCGCTACATAAATAATGAAATAATAAATAATAATAATAATTCTTAGAGGTGAAGAAGAACCTTTTCAAACAAGCGTATATTCTATGAGGATTTGAGGTAGGTGGACATATCTTTAAGTGTCTTGCCCAAAGATACTTACTGGTAAGGTGATCTGACCAAAATGCAAACCTTGGTTTTCCCAGTTCTAAGTTAAGGCAGTGATTTTATCCCTCTAACCAGCAAATATATATACTATATACTTATGGTAATCAGTTAAAAATTACATGTTGCCAGTTTAAGTCGACTAGTGCTGGAAAAACAACTTGCCCACTGAGGGCTCATTTACAGTTTGTTTTACAGAAGTTTCACAAAAATGTCATATATTTCTCACACTGATTCTTATTTTTATTTAGCAAATGTTATTTTTGTTAGATTTTTATGTTTTTCCATTAGACAAACATGTTGTCCAATTGTACTGTACTGTAAGTGTGAAACCAAGTTCTTGTCTCATTCCAATGTACACAATGTGAAATATTTAGAACAAAGAGTTCCAAAAAGAAATCATTATATTCTCATCTATCTCCTTTTGATAAATATGTAAGATAGACATTCTACTTAAAGTTATTTATTACATAGTTGCCAACTGTCCCGTTTTTGCCAGGACAGTCCCCGCAAGCTGAAGTCTTTCCCGGGCAATTTACTCTCCTGGGACAGGCCCAACTATATAGAGCAATCTGATGTTGAGTATTAAGTTAGAGAATATTCTGTGAATGTTTTGAGGTACTTAAGATTTATGGAAAATAATAAACGACTCTCAATGGACTCTGACGTGCTGGAAAACTGGCTTAAATCCAGCTTCCCTTCTCTGTATCTTATCATTAATGCCAGAGACGCGTGCATCTTACTGTTTGAAGTTAGTACTTATTTTAATCTCTAGTTCTGCCATTGCTATCCATTTTACCTTTTGGAAGAAAGAGTGAGAACAATAGTTTTCACCTGCTCAGAATCAACAATCTTAAGCAATAGCTCCCCATATGTTCTGTACAGATAGCATATCTTATAGTGGAAGAGAACACAAAGATTATCATTCTGACCAGTTCTTAGTTGCAACGAAAAAGTGTGTGAGCATTTGCCATTTTATGTGAGGTGGTCACTGCACCTGTGGAGCTAAGAGATAAGAAGGTACTGAAAAAAAAAACATAAAAGGTGGGGAGTTTTTTAAAAACATTTTTCACAAAGAAATTCTTTTTCTGGAAATATTAAAAAATTATAAGTCATGGAATATGTTCTTTTATAATGATAAAAATTATCTTTATGACATGGTGTTTATATTTAAACCTTCACTATAATTTCTAAAAACTATATAATATGTAGCTTTTATGAAAGACTTATGAGGCTTTATGTAAAAATTGCAATTCTTGTACCCGGAAGTCAAGCAAATCTTGGAATACAATGCAAATACTAACTAGGTTATTTACTAAAATGAGAGTTGAAAGGGAATTTTAAATTCAGGTTAAAATTGCCAAACTGGAAATAGTCTCTAATGTGTCTAGGGACACTGCAGGGGAAGAGGAGTTGGTTGATTTTGCTTGTGAGCTCCACCTTGTTGGTATAGCTGATTGAGTTGTTTCTGTGATCTCAGGCCATAATTGAAAGGTAAGAATTTAATGGGATCGAACTGCTGGAGCTTAATGTAGTAGTTCCGGGGCATAGTGCTTGTCCCTGTAGGCTGAGCAGTGTAAATTCTCCCTTTCCTGAGAAATGTATAAATGACCTTGAAATTGTAGCATCCTTAGTGTTCATACTGTACTACCCTATGTGTTGTATTCTCTTTTTTGTAGAGATATTTTAGTTTTGTTTTGAGTGTACTGAGTATTTAGAGGAATCCTTTACGATATCTACATTTTTATGTGAGAGGGTAATTACCATTTCATTTTGTACTATCTGCACTGCACTTTGAGGTGATTATAGTGTTTTTATCTCTTGAGTTTGTTGGACTGAGCAACTGAACACCCCTTCAAGAGCATCCAGTCTGTAACATGAGAGACCGCCCTTAAGTGTGGGTAAAAAACGTGACCTATTAGCTTAAACCTACTCCATGTACAGAGGTTGCAGGTATAATCACACAGCAAGACTCAGCCAGGCAGGGTGAATTAAAAAAAACACTACGATGAAAGGCATTTGAAAAAAAGGGGGGAATAATTGGCATTGCAAAGATGTCTGATATTGCATTGCCATTAAGTTAGGCAATATTTTCTAGATATTTTTGCATGGCTCACAGTCAGAGTCCTCTTTTTTCCTGCTGTTGTGGCTTTCCCGAATTTAGTTTTTTCGTTACTGAAATCTGGCCTTAATGAACAACAACGTGGACTGAATTCTGTAGACCTGAAGATTTTTAAAAATCATTAACTGCTTCAGAAGCACCTGAACATTTTTACACTGAACAAATCTAGCTATTAAAGGGACACTAAAGTCACCAGAACAACTACAGCTTTATTGTATTTGTTCTGGTGAGTAGAAGCATTCCCTTCCGGCTTTTTGCAGTAAACACTGTGTTTTAGAGAAAATGCAGCGTTTACATTACAACCCAGTGACGACTACTAAAGGGGCTTCCTGGGGCAGTGCTGCACAGTATGCAGAACAACATTCAGTGTATCCACCCACTGCACAAAGACACAGAACTTTCCTCATAGAGATGCAGTGATCCAATTTATCTCCATGAGGAGATGCTGATTGGCCAGGGCTGTTTTTGGCTCGTGCTGGCTCTGCCCCTAATCTGCCTCTTTGACAGTCTCAGCCAATCTGATTGGGAAAACATTGTGATTGGCTTTTGTTCAACACTTCTGATGATGTCAGCCTATCAGGCAGATCAGGGGCAGAGACAGAAGCTGCAGACTTGAATACAAGTAATATTTTACTATATTTAGGAAAGCAAGGGGGGCAGCAGGGCTAGATGGTGGTTTTAGAGCAGGCTTCCCCAAACTCCGGCCCTCCAGATGTTGCTGAACTACAACTCCCATGGTTCTATGAATAAAATAGATAGGCTGAGAATCATGGGAGTTGTAGTTCAGCAACATCTGGAGGGCCAGAGTTTGGGGAAGCCTCTTTTAGAGGGTCAGGTATACATGTTTGTGTTCCTGACCCTTTAGTGTTCCTTTAAGAGTTTTATGTAGGATATGAACACACCTGTCTCACAAATCTAGGTTAGGTAAATATTGCATCAAATAGACCAGGTCACATTGTTATGTAAAGATCTAAGTTTTACACAATCATTGATTATATATTTTCTTATCTGTTTCCACTGATTTTCAGTGAAAGAAATACAAACTGTTTAGCCTTTTAGCTACATTAATAGTTGATTATACTTTCAGTTTATAGCATGCAGCTAAACAAATGATGATGTTTTATTCACATTAGCAAAGGGAGAGAAGATAACATGGGAATGATGGTATGCAAAAAAAGAAATATAAAAGTTAAATTTAAGTTCTACGTACATGTTACTCATGTAAATACATGTATTTGTGCAATCATGTTTTTACAGAGAAAGACGGAGAAGCCTTGTTTGATGTAAAGCCAAACTGGAAAATTAATTATTATTCACTTTGTGTGTTGTAATGATAACATTCAACTGGTAAAAACGTAAGAGGGTATACAGTTGTGGTATAAGGGTGGTTATTGAGTTTATGGTTAGAGTGGGGTTTAATTTCGTTTTTGGGTACAATTGTGTTAAGATTTTTAAGATGAGTGTTAAACCGAGGGTTAAGGTAAAGAGGTTTATTTCAAGTTTATGTTGTGAATGCCTAAATTTAAGAATAAGGAACGTGTTTGTTTAGGTTTTTGAGAGGGGCTATATGACGAACTGAACCTCATCACAGGTTCTTGGAGGGGCCTGCTGTGCAGCCTCTTGCATCAGGACCATGGGTCCTGCAATATACCTTGCCCAATGCACTTTAAAAGGCTCTGTTCATGTGAGTTATGTACTTTTGTACTCCAGACAGATAGACCAACCATGGAAATCCAGAACCCCTTTACTGATCTGGGTTATTTTTGGATATGTTGGTCAATCATATCGGGACTATAAGGGGGTGTAACGTTTGTGGGGTTTCCATGGGTTTTGTGGGTACTTTTGGGGTGTTGTTAAAAGTTGTGTTTTTTGTGCCTGGAGATAATTGAGTTAGTTCAGTTCCTCACTTAATTATCTCCCAGGCATAGGGGAGGGATTGTCTTGTTTTGTAGGGTAGGTGGAGAACAGCGAGACCCCAACCAAGCTGCAGCGGTTTGTGGGGTTTACGGTGTTTATGGTGTTCCAGTGCAGTGTTTAGGGTGCTCACAAGTACTAGGAAGCAGCAACTGACAGAGGTACCCGGTCGGGGTGCCAGGCGGTCCGTCACAGGATAAATTTAGTGTTAGGGAAAGGGGTGTTTAGGACATGTGGAATTCAAAGGATTATTTGCAGTGTACTCACCATCATATATCTTTTGTACTCCAGTCAACTCCCTATGATTGATAGTAGAGCTGCTATACAGTGTGGATCACTCAGTGCTGTCCCTGCACCTTCAAGGCACTTCCTGTGTAAGAGGCTGTTAGTAGGTAAATGGGAGATAATGCTTTTCACTTCCCGTTGAGCCTTAAACACAGACACTGGAAGAGCTCGGCGGAAATGAGCTTTACACCTTCTATAGCTGTTCCTGCAGCTCTGCTATTAAGCATAGAAGGCTGACTGGGCTTCAGATGATACTGACCAAGGCTACTAGTATTCATCTACACATTTAATAGACCACTATAGTGCTATGAATACAAACCTGTATTGCTAATGCTATAGTGCCCCTGTCTGTAGTAATATCCAGGCAATCCTCACCCCTTGTAGTAAAATATTTTTTTAAAGATGTTTACTCACATTTTTCCAAACCAATGCTAATCATAGAGGAGCATTGGGCACCTGATGCACATGTACAGTGAGTGCTGTGTATGTATCCAAGCTTTCCCATAGGAAAGCATTGGATTCAATACCATTGGAAAGCATTGGACTCAATGCTTTCATAGGAAAGCATTGGATTAAATTTTCTGTGACCATAGGTTGATTAGCCAGTAGGTAGAGCAGGTGCACTATAAACTACCCTGTTCAAATAATACCTTTATTCCCCCATAAAGTATAAACACTTACTTTGCTAAGAGAATCCAGACCACTTTGATTAGAGATGAGTTGTAGAATTTCAAATCAGATCATTTTGCTCAAATGTTGCTATTTGGTTTTCATCCCTCTACAAATTGATCTTTTGTGATTAAACCCATAGCCTTTCAGCATAATAAGGTATTTCAAATACATTGACTTAATTTAGTTTTTGGCCACAGTTGCATTATTGGAGGAGTATCCAGACAGGTAGCAGAGTGTTGCATACTAGTATCAGTAGCACCGGAACCATGTGGTAGAGGTCTGCTAACCTCCAAATATATCCACAAGTGATGAGCCACAGGCTGCACAGTGTAGGGGGAAACTGGTAGTTTTATTGTGGAATTAATTTATACAAACAGAAATATTAAGGGAGAGTGTGTCAGGTTGCTCTATAAGAGTACGGGAGGCAACCCCTAATATTTATATTTGAACACTAAAAAACTAAAAACTGAAAAAAGGGGGAAAGATAGCAGAAAAAAAACCTTTAAGCAACCTATAAATAAGACAACTTTTATTAGAGTCAGTTAAAATGTGAAAAATAAATATTACTATAAAAAAGTCCTAGATAAATTGGCCTAAATCGTCGGGATGGTTCTATGTGTTAGTGGCCTATTCATATGGGATGATACTGCAGCATAACATGATTTTGAAGATGCAGCCACTACACATCTATTAATTTCACAGATTACTTTTACTTAGTTTTTGGTTTTTTTGATTATTAATTTTATTTAGTTTTTTTTCCATTCTTAATTTTTTTTTGTTATTTTAGATATTTAGAGGGATTTGGGATTAGATCAGTGACTAGCTTACTATTATTGATAGGTTGGATGTTTCTTTCAGGCAGGTTGACTTATGTTAGTTTGTATTCTCTGGATATGATGAATTGGACTTATTTGTTAAGTTCTAATTCATTATATATATATATATATATATATATATGTGTGTGTGTGTTTGTGTGTGTGTGTATGTATGTATGTATGTATGTGTGACGAAGTGCTCTTTGCCACTTGTGCCTGGAGAGGACTAATTACCAGCCTCCAGCCCTGCGACTATGGCCCCGGGAAGATTTTGCCCTTTAAATACGTTATTTGGGCATAGTGGATTTTATTAGACTGGTTCTGGCCCTTTAAATGCTCTGACAAAGGATCTGCAGTTTTGCTATGCACTTCGGATGCAGAGTGTGAAGAAAAAAACCCTGTTTTATGGACTTAGTTTGACTGTTTTATTCCCCTCCCTCCTAGAACACCAGTTTAAAAACCCTTAACCCCTTAAGGACGGAGCCAAATGTACACGTTGTGAACAAAACAAAATGTAAACAAAACCTGGCATTTGCGCTACATGTCTGTCCAACCGTAATACACCTCTTTCATATTAAATGCACCCACCCTTATTATATATCATCATTTTATTCAGGGGAAATAGGGCTTTCATTTAATATCAAATATTTAGCTATGAAACATAATTTAATATGAAAAAAATGGGAGAAAATAAGATTTTTTTAATTTTTTTAGTTCTACATGACATTTTAACTGTCAATGTCATAATACTGTTTGCTTTTACTGCAATAAAATACACATACTTGTATTCAGCAAAGTCTCACGTGTAAAACAGTACCCCCTATGTACAGGTTTTATGGCATTTGGGGAAGTTACAGGGTCAAATATAGCACGTTACATTTGAAATTGAAATTCGCCAGATTGGTTACGTTGCCTTTGGGACTGTATAGTAGCCCAGGAATAAAATTTACACCTATAATGGCATACCATTTGCAATAGTAGACAACCCAAGGTATTGCAAATGGGGTATGTCCAGTCTTTTAGTAGCCATTTGGTCACAAACACTGGCCAAAGTTAGCGTTAGTATTTGTTTGTGTGAAAAATGCAAAAAAAACGCCAATTTTGGCCAGTGTTTGTGACTAAGTGGCTACTAAAAAAGACTGGACATACCCCGTTTGCAATACCTTGGGTTGCCTACTATTGCAAATGGTATGCCATCATAGGGGTAATTTTCATTCTTGGGCTACCATAGGGTCTCAAAGGCACCATAACCAATCTGGCGAATTTTAATGTGAAAAAAATGAAACGCAAGCCTTATATTTGACACTGTAACTTTTGAAAACACCATAAAACCTGTACATGAGGGGTACTGTTGTACTCGGGAGACTTTGCTGAACACAAATATTTGTGTTTCAAAACAGTAAAAAGTATCACAGCAATAATATCGTCTGTGTAAGTGCTGTTTGTGCATGAAAAAGGCAAAAAACGTCACTTTTACTGGCGATATCATCGTTGTAATACACTTTACTGTTTTGAAACACTAATATTTGTGTTCAGTGAAGTCTCCCGAGTAGAACAGTACCCCCGGTGTACAGGTTTTATGGTGTTTTGGAAAGTTATAGGGTTAAATATAGTGCTAGCAAATTAAATTCCCTTTACTTTCGGCATGGGTTGTCAGGCAGGTCCCGCTAATTGTAATTAATTAAGATACCTAATTATGTAAAAATATTACATAAATATATATGTAGAATTAATATATGTATATATATACGTATGTGAATCTATATGTATATATATAATTTTATTAAAATATTTTTATTTATATATAGGTATATATATATAGTGATATATACGTATATATTTATGTATGTAGATATATGTATTATTTTGTTCTACGTGTATTTTGATATAAATATATATATATTAATATCACAATACAGTTAGAACGAAATAACACACATCTATATATTTTTTAATTATTTTTTTAACATTATTTTTTTAATTTTATTTTTTAACGTATTTACATATTTAATTTTTTTATATTATATATAAATATATATATATAACAATAATTATATATATATTTAATCAGTATCAGTCTACGTGTAATTTGATATTAATATATATATATATATAATTATATATATATTAATAGTAAAATACACCTAGACAGTGTGTGTGTGTGTGTGTATGTATACGTGTATATATATATACTTAGATCTAAGTATATCTTTTTTTTACACTTATTAATTTATTTTAATTTTATTTCCAGCCAGCAGGGAGACCACCTGTCATTACAGGCAGCCCCCCTGCTGGCAATGCAGCAGGCAGCCTACCCAGCCATGTGATTGTGAGGTCCTCACAAGGACCTCACTCTCACATGGCCGGGGGGCACCGGAGGAGGAGGATCTGCCCGGGTAAGTAATGAAAGACCGGAGGGCGTTTAGTGTAATTGTTAATGTGGATGGCTTCTCTCCAATGCAGTATGTAAAACTATTTTTAGGGGATACCATCTGGGAGGAGATTGCTTCTCAGACTAACTTGTATGCTACCCAATTTATTGATAACAATCCAGGTAGCTATACAGTCAGGGAGCATGACTGGCATCCCACAGATGTCCCAGAGCTTAAAAAATTCTGGGCTCTTACAATGCTCATGGGGATTATAAAGAAGCCATCGATTCGCTCATACTGGAGCACCAACCCAATAATGTCTAGTCCAGTATTCTCCCAAACCATGCCTAGAGCCAGATACGAGTTACTGCTGAGATTTTTACATTTCAGTGACAATACCCTCTGTCACCCTAGAGATCACCCCCAATACGATAGGCTTAATAAAATATGCCCACTGCTAGACCATTTTCAGGACAAATTTTCGGATGATTATACCCCCCAAGAAAATTTATCCATAGATGAATCTCTATTGAAATACAAAGGGAGATTAGGGTTCAGACAATACATCCCCTCAAAGCGCTCTAGGTATGGCATAAAACTGTACAAACTGTGCGAGAGCGAAAGTGGATACACATTTGCCTTTTGTGTATATGAGGGGAAAGATGGTCAACTGGACCCTCCTGGCTGTCATGACTCCCTGGGGACAAGTGGGAACCTTGTATGGGACCTACTAAACCCCTTGTTTAATAAAGGTTACCACCTATGTGGATAATTTTTATAGTAGTGTCCGTCTGTTTAAAACACTTTATGGTTTACAGACACTGGTCTGCGGCACTTCCAGAAAAAATTCCAAAGACTTTCCACAATCTCTCATAGAAGCAAAATTTAAAAAAGCTGAAGTGCTTGCACTAAAATTTAGGGACAGGAAGGATGTCAACATGCTAACCACCATCCATGACGAACGCATGTCAGACGTCTCTGTCCTGGGCAGAGTAGAGTCCAAACCGGTTTGCATCAGGGCGTGTAATAAGTACATGGGGGGTGTTGATTTGGCTGATCAGCTGATCAGCTGATGCAGCCATATCTTATTTTACGAAAAACCAAAGCATGGTATAAAAAGGTCGCTATCTATCTGATGCAAATAGCAACCCACAACTCATTTTTGCTTTTTAAAAAAAATAATGCAGGGAAAACCACCTTTCTCCAATTTCAGTTGAAAATAATTTCTTTAACAATTTATGTAGATGGACAAGTTCCAACAACGGTGCAAGCTGAATCCAGACATTTTATTTTTAAGTTACCGCCAACTGCTAGAAACCCCCCCCCCCAGAAACGTTGCCGGGTCTGTTTTAAAAAAGGGAAAAGGACAGACACCCCTTTTCACTGTCCTGATTGCCCTTCGAAACCAGGACTGTGTGTAGGAACATGTTTCAAGCTGTACCACACAGAACAGTTGTAAGAAGTGTTCCTGAATTTTTATTTTATTTTTTGCTTCCTTGGAAAGCAGCCATTTTTTGTTAGCCAGTTTCCTTCCCCCAAATCTCCAGTTAGATTCTATTTGCAGGAGTCAGTTTAAAGATTGCTGCTAAATGTACATTTGCTACCTGCACATTTGGTCTAACAAGTTTTCTGGCAGTAACACATAACCAGCTGGTCAAAACCAGATGACGTGTGCATAAGAACCAGGATTAAAAAAATTACCACTACACTTTCTTTGGGGGGCAAAATGGTTGGGGGAAAGAAGTCAAAACACACCATCTTCTATAACCTTTGATGTCTACTTTTTAAAAATATATACTATATATACTGTCATGATGGCAACATTAACTGTGGGGCGCAAAAATATGTCAAACAGAAGATAGACCAAGCATACCTATATATCAAGTTGAAAAACTGACATGTACAAGTTCTGATTGTTGCCTTTTGGCCCCCAAACAACCCAGCAACCCTATACATGGGGGTTATCACTGTACTCGGGAGATGTTGCTGAACATATTGGGCAGTGTTTGGCAGTGACACATAACAGGATCTGTTAATTCATGCCTAAAGTACAATGTGTGTGACAAAGAAACAAAAAAAGATTACTACCCAAAAGTTTGACAAAGGCTGGTGGTAGAATTCAGTGCATGAAAAGTGTTAAAATACCACTATTTAAAATACCCTGGGTTGTCTACTTTTCAAAAATATATGGTTTGATGGGGGTAAAATACATTTGCTCAAATGGGACATGGGCACAGGTTGATTACATGTCAAAATTCCAAGTTGGGAAACTGATAAGCGCACCTGCCAAACGTGGCCTTTTAGCCCCCAAGGAACCTGACAAGCCTATGCATGGGCGGTATCACTGTATTCAGGAGATCTTAATGAACACATATTGGGGTGTTGTTTGGCAGTGATACATAACAGGATCTGTTAATTCATGCCTAAAGTACAATGTGTATGAAAAAAACTGAAATTTTTTTTACTAACTCAATGTTTGACAAAGCCTGGTGGTAGAATTAGTGCATGGAAAGTGTTAAAATACCACCATGTGAAATACCCTAGGGTGTCTACTTTTCAAAAATATGTGGTTTGATGGGGGTAAAATACATTGGTCAGCTTCAAATGTCCCAAATAGGACATGCATGCAGGTTGACTACATGTCAAAATTCCAAGCTGGGAAACTGATATGTGCACCTGCCAAATGTGGCCTTTTAGCCCCCAACAACCTGACACACCTATACATGGGGGGTATCCCTGTACTCGGGAGATGTTGGTGAACACATATTGGGGTGTTGTTTGGTAGTGACACCTAACAGAATCTGAATTTATACCTGAATTGCAAGGTATGTGAAAAAAATAAAAAAATAAACTACCTATGCAAAGTTTGGCAAAGGTTTGTGGTAAAATGGCTGCATAGAAAGTATCAAAATATTCTTAGATTCACCTGGTTGATAACATTCAAGGGGTGACTCCCACCAATTAACCCCATCATGCTGGGAATAGAGAGCGCTACAATCTATTACTAACATAAAAAGCCTCTCTGACCCTGCCACAGTATGTATATATATATGTATATATGTATGTATGTATATATATGTATGTATGTATATATATAATTTATTTTGATTTATCTATTTATTTTTGACATACACACTTTTAAGCCTATTCATAGTGGAATTAAGGACAAAACAAGGATACAACGTTTCAACCGTGATACATGATTAAGGCCACATGGCCAAAACATCATATCCTTGTTTTGTCCTGTATTCCACAATAAAAATCTGGTTCATCCTACTTGTGCATTATTGGAGGAATAATTGAGCAACTTAACAAATTATTATTATTATTATTATTATTAATAATAATAAACTCTTAACCCATATGCTCTGTCTAAAACAAGAATGTCAAACTCGGGGCCCACAAGGACCATCTTTGAGGCCCGGCGAGGCGCGAGTACATGCTGGTGTTATAGCAGATTAGGCACCTGCTTTCCCCACGTTGCAGGTGCCTACTCTGCTAACACTTACCCGACCGGGGAGGAGGGCCAGCGAGGGAGCTCAGTGTTTCTGCTCCTCACTGCTCCCTCGCGCCGTCTGTAGTGAAGCCGGGCGCCAGAATATGACGTCATATTCCGGCACCCGGCATCACAAAACCGCGCGAGGGAGGAGTGAGGAGCAGATGCCCCAAATCGGCTCCAAAAGGTAAGAAGCAATAAAAAAAAGTGTATGTGCGCAAGAATGTGTGCGTGTGTCTGTCTGTCTATCTGTAAGTGTGTGTCTGTCAGTGAGTGTGTGTGTGTGTCTGTCTGTGAGTGAGTATGTGTGTGTGTCTGTGTGTCTGTCAGTGAGTGTGTGTGTGTCTGTGTGTGTGTCAGTGAGTGTATATGCGTCTGTCAGTGAGTGTGTGTGTGTGTGTGTCTGTCAGTGAGTATGTGTCTGTCTGTCAGTGAGTATGTGTCTGTCTGTTTTTCAGTGAGTGTGTGTGTGTGTCAGTGAGTATGTGTGTGTCTGTCAGTGTGTGTGTCTGTGTCTGTTTGTCTGTGTCAGTAAGTGTATGTGTGTCTGTCAGTGAGTGTGTATGTGTGTCAGTGAGTATGTGTGTGCGTCTGTCAGTGAGTATGTGTCTGTCAGTGTGTGCGCGTGTGTGTGTGTCTGTGTGTTAGTCAGTGAGTATGTGTGTGTGTCTGTCAGCGGGAGGATTAGATTTGGCACAGGGTGGTAGAGTATAGTATAGGGGGGACTGGGATTTAGTAGAGAGGGGTGCTGTGGTTTAGTAGAGGGGGATGCTGGGGGTTTTTATACTGTACTTTTTAAAATAAACCTATGTTTCTATGAAAATTTTAGTTTTTTGGGTTTTTTTGCGGCCCACATAAACTTAAACCTTGTTTATGTGGCCCGTGCCAGACTTTGAGTTTGACGTGCTTGGTCTAGAACATTGGGTTTACACTGAGCTTTGTAAATTTACAAAGTGTATTTCCCCTTCTGGCATTCAGAGAGTTTCTCAGTAATACTTAATATTTTCACCTTAGGGCTCCAATTACCCTTACTCTGGTATTACTGTATACAAAATGTAACATAGCAGGTTAATAACTGGTTGTTTTGCCTATGCATTATATTTTGAGTGGAATGCAGCACATTGAACCTCACAGTGATACAGATCAGTGATGTCAGATGCAAGTATGGCTATATTATAAATATGAAAAGCATGTTTTTTTCCATTCACCAAATAGATATTTTTATGATATAGTTAAAGAATAAAATATATTTGTTGCAATACAAAGGCTTTCTTGTAAAATTGCATAAAATGCACATTTCAGTAAAAATCTTGAAATTATAGGACTTCATTTTCATGCATAACTGGCAACATCCAAATATACATCAGGATAGTCTTGATTTTTGGCCACTCTCCAGGTGTCCTAGACTTTTTTCCTGGTGTTCCGCTTCTACACTTATGAGAGAAAAGTGTCCATATATAGAAAGACTACAGTATTTCATAATCTATGCGTTATCACAAGCGTTTAACCTACACATTAGAATTTATACACTGCTTTGTGTATGATCAGACTTCATTTTTTTTTATCAGTATAGGCAAATATCTTCATGCATTTTATGGCTTTCTTAAGGTGGCTCTATCACACCACCACCACCACCAAAAAAAATTGTATTTCATAAAGATAAAATATTTATGAAATAATCACGTTGACTGTTGGAATTTTACTGAAATTTTAACGCAGTCAAAAGATATTATAAGACAAAGAAGGGACTACTTTGTTTTATGTATACTCCCTATGCCTGACAAAACTTGACAAATGACAGGGCTCCCTTTGTCAAGTTTGGTAATTTACTCCAGCCAGCACTAGTGAATGTGAGAAGAAAGGTATTGCCTGTTATCTTGTGGGATCTTCCTTAGACCCAAGTTTTGTACTTTCGCACATCTACGTAGAATACATATGTGTTCTCCTGGTAGACGAAACACTAGGAGCTAAAGATAATCTAATAGATGCAGATGGTGGTGGCCGTTAAGTTACCTTACCTTCCCGTGGACCCCACCGAGCTGCGCAGTCGCCAAATTATGCAAATACCACAGGAGGTGACAGAGACACTCCAAGAGGCCATGCATTGTAGACAAGCAATTAGTAAGACCATGGGATCAGAAACTCACAACTGAGCCATTATAAATTGAGAAACTTTTGAGTTTGGCTAAAAACATCTTGTACCAAAATTAGATTCCAGTTAAACGTTAAATTCTGGTCAGCGACCAAAACATTTACAGACGTGGGTAAAATAAAGGCAACATGCTGTGATCTGAAAAATGTCATGTAGCAATAAAAGTAACGAGAGATGTTCTATAAATGTAGTAGGTATACTTGAACCTTTCTAATTACGTCTTTTTTTTGTTTACATTAAGCCTAAATTAACGTTTTACTCTATCTTTACTAACTCATTCTGTGCATCACAGCAATGCTCATTAGATTAGTAACATGAGGTCCCCTGTCACTGTGTCTCTGTATACACTGATCAGCCTAATACTGTGTAGGCCCCCCTCGTGCTGCTAAAACAGCTCTGATACATTGAGACAAGGACTTCACAAGACCTGGGAACATGTCCTGTGGTTTCTGGCACCAAGACATTAGCAGCAGATCCTTTAAGGTGCATTATCCTGCTAAAAGAGGCCACTGTCATCAGGGAAACACCACTGTATGTGGTCGGCAACAATCTCTAGGTAGGTGGTCTGTGTTAAAGTAACATCCTCATTAATGACAGGACCAAAGGTTTCCCAGGAGAACATTGTCCAGAGCATAACACTGCCTCCACTGGCCTGCCTTCTTCACATAGTGTATCCTGCTGCCATTCCAAGGTAAACAACTTGATCTAAAAGAAAATGTGATTAATTAGACCAGGCAATATTCTTCTATTGCTCCTTGGATGCTCACATCCCCAACGAAGATGCTTTCGTCAGTGGACATGGGTCATCATGGGCACTCTGAGCGATCTGCAGCTACGCAGTCCTATACGCAGCAATCCGTGATGCACTGTGTTCTGACACCTTTCTATCATGGCCAGCATAAAGTTTTTCAGCAGTTTGAGCTACAGTAGCCCTTCTGCCTAATCGTAACAGACAGGCTAGCCATCATTTCCCATATGCATCAAAAAGCCTTGGGGGCCCATGACCCTGACACCGGTCCACCGTTATCCTTCCTTGCACCACTCTTGGTTTGGACAAATCACTGCATACTGGGAACTACCCACTAGACTTGCTGTTTTGGAGATGCTCTGAGCCAGTCGTCTAGACAATTACTATTTGGCCCTTGTCAAGGCCACTCAGATCTTTTCACTTGCCCATTTTTATTGTATCCAACACATGAAATTCAAGAACTGACTGTTCACTTTCTGTCTAATATGTCCTACCCCTTCTCAGGTACTATTGTAATGATATAATCAATGCTACTCACTTCAACTGTCAGTGTTGTTAATGTTATGGCTGGTCAGTGAACAAACAGCGACTTTTGACGGCACAATTTGCAAAACTCATTGCAGCTTTAAGACTGGAGACCTGCCAAGTTATGTTGGACTGCATCACAAGATGGATGAAGTGGGGTCATTGCCAAAGGGTGAGTGCGCCCATCGTACTATTAACTTCACAGGAAATATGCCCAACCAAACCAACACTGTGGGAAACAGCCATTTTGTTGGGTGATTAGAAGATCTGTGTGCAAATTATCTTTCACAAAATATAATTCTGTGATTGACAAGTCTAACACTTCCTCTTTTTTCACTTCATCCTTTGCCATCCAAATTCCATTCAATCAATGTATTTGTAAATCATGAACGAAGTCTGTTGTGTGGGGCAGCTATTATTGGAACTGTGCTATGTCTGTTATCAGTCTATTCACAGCAATTCCAGTCTATTTAGCAATCCACTTATCTGATCCAAGCAGAACTACTACTGAGACCGAACTGTACATCCCATGACCCTTGCTGTAATTTGGTTTATTGGATACGATTAGGCTACAGAGACTGGGGAAGGGGGGGAAAGAGCCTTCCTATGGGTGGTGGTGCTCTATGCTGCAGCCTCTTGTCTGTGTGTTGGGAATTTTAAATATGAGCATCTTTAGTAGCTTGACCTTTTTGCATATTTTAGAGCTACCTCTCTCTCTCTTATGTATTAAAAATGTATGGGCTATACTGGAGTGTTCTATCAAGTTAGTTTTATCAAAGCATTTAAAATGTTCATTATCATTGCCAAATACTTATCTTAAACCTTTTATAGCTCAGACAAGTCTCAGCTTAAGAGTATTTGGCAGAAATACATAACAAGATGAGTGCACTGGAGCAAAACTGAATGTGCGGATATAAGTTCTTTTCAGTTTCCACAATCAATGCCAAAGATTTGCAGGTGGGAGCTTAACAAATAAATATTTTACTAAGCAACCCATCTCAAACCATTTACAATTGTAGATATTTTATTTTTCACTGAGTTTATAAAAAATAAAGTATGCTAAACTTTGTACATTTCCTGAGTTTCATAGACTAAAGTTAAAATTCCATTGTCCCAGAATTGGAAAATAAAATTCCAATTAGTTTTAGAAGGTAAATTTAAAGGTATGCAAATGCAGTGTTACAGGTTAATATCATATCATTGATTTGTTGATGTATCTTTATGGTTTTCTTTTTTCCCATAACTTGATTAATAAAGTGTTTTAGAATCATGAATCACGGATCTATTCGTAGAAACTGAAAATTGTGACTGAACCCGCATCAACTGTAATATTTTACTGTCAGAAGCCATCAGGGAGGAGTAAACACAACCAGCTGGCAAATTAATATAACTACTCATTTAAAATGCCAAATACACTGTCTCCAGTGGGGATAAGAAAAACAAAAACATTTAATGCTGAAGATGACGAGAAGAAAAAAAGCTGAAGTCACTCACAAAGGGCTGGATTTGTACTTCTCAATGGCAAAGGGGGGCGAATAAAAAGTAATCTTCAATCAAAAGCATCCAAAAAGAAAAATGGTTGTTTTTACTCTTTATTAAGAGTACAAATTTCTGAACTTGCACTCCTTGTGCAAACATCCCCTATCCCATACTCTATTTGTATTTTCATTAAAACATAGAGATATGTAAAATGGATGTCAGAACTCACAAATGCTTTAAACAGTATATAGTGTCTTTAACCCCTTAAGGACCAAACTTCTGGAATATAAGGGAATCTTGACATGTCAAACATGTCATGTGTCCTTAAGGGGTTAATCTTGCAATATTACATTTTACACAGGATCTGAAATGATAATGTAAACATGGTAAAATATCCTTCTTATGTCAATTTATAAGGACCCCAAAGACATTACTAGCAGTACAGTCAAAACATTTTCAAAGAATGTCTGCATTTGAGCATAATGCCCACACTTCGTAAATAAAGTTAAATCATACAGTTGTAAATTAAAGGTATTTTTAAAAGGTGTGATAGCAATATTTATCAATCCCTGGAAAGCTAATGCAATGCTAACAGTGAAATGGTAAAACCCATGCACTCATCCCCCTTCCTCATTGTAGGAATGGTCAACCCCATTGAAACCTCCTTCACTGTTTGGAAGGAGGATGTGGTCATAGTTACACAGCTGAAAATTTTAGTCTGACATTAAATAATTTGTTAATGGCTTCTGGCAGAAAAATCCAGTCCTCTACAGGGTATTAATCCTTCCTAGATTAAAAATGAGGATGAGTGAGGCTTTATGGACTACATTATACTCTGCAAAGTACATGGAAGTAAAATGCTTATCCTCAATTCCAGAAGTGAAGAGGCTAAACCTAAATTTAATCAGCACCATTATGGAACAGTGGTGAAATGATTCTGCCCTCCAGTGTTATTCCAGTGGTGCTTAGCATTTAAAATCCAGTTATCATTTGAGACAATTTGGTGTCACTTTAAATAGAATAAACTTGTCATAGCAAACATATAGATTAAAAATATGAAACTATACATTAGTTATAACCTTCTTTGCCATCACTGCTATGTTATCAGCATGCTTGAACATGACACATTTGGATGTGCATACTCAGCCACTTGGCCTCCAAGAAGAGGTGTTTTATGGAAACATGCCATTCAGTTACTCCTTCCATCTCAGGAATGCCTTGTTGGGTGATGACCAAAAAGACCTTCAGGTAAGTATATCCTTTATCTATACCAGTGGTTCCCATTGCTATTCAATGCAAGGCACATCAGCTGTCCATTGGCATTCAAAGTTTTTGGAAGGTTGTCAATACACAAAACACTTTCCCTTTGAAATATCCTTCCTTTTACAACAACAAACACAACTGGAATAAATTATTACAAACCATATATTTCCACTTCCTTTGTTTAAAGTTTTCTTAAAGGGAGGCACAATAAATTAAGCTCACTGTACACAAAATGAGCTAAATAAATAACAGCTGAAAATTACTGAAAATAATACATATGCAATGACTGGAACTAATTCAAAATTGCATAAACCGAAAACTGCTGAACAGTCAAAGTAACCAAATGTATGGTTTAATTTAAATGTTAAATATTCTGCAGAGTTAGCTCATATCATTATACACTCTGTTCATTGCATTTCAATGATTTCACTGCAATAATCCACTTTGAATCAAGAATGGTTTATATACATGAATATATAATATAACCACCTAACCTTTAAAGAGTCTGCAATGACTTAATATACTCTTGTTCTTATGTGAAATAGCACATTGAGATACATTAAAATATGTGAGTAAAATAAGAGGTTTGTTTATTATGCTTTGCTCATTGCTGCCAAATATGCAGCTTTTTAGAGAAAGTGTGAACTAAGAGACAGGAGAAAAAAACAGTAACATAAAATTAAATCTGTATTCTGATTGGGAGACAGTAACTAACCAATTTGAATAAAACTAGAATTTGTTTCATGGCTAATATATAAACTAAGAGCAGCATATAGTTTACTATACAATACAGAATAACTTGAATGAGAAAAGTCAAATAATTATGCAATGTAGCTATCAGGGCCAGATTTATATGAGGGCCAGATTTACATGTCAGGTGCCTTTAGGTATAGAATTCCAAGGTACCTCCTTCCTAACCCTGCCATGTCCCCAAAAATATAGATATTGCAGGCATGAAAACATCTAAAACTCATATACTGGTATTTGGTAACTGCGTCTGTGTATATATGTGTATATATATATATATATACACACACATATTTCTGCTTGTATTATGTTTGAGTTTGTGAGTATAGTTAGTTTATTCAGCTGTGTAAATACATGTAGGGTTAAAGATAATGGTAGAAATGGTTAGAGCGAAGAGATGGTTAGGGTTATAGAGGAGCTAACATCAAAGTTAGATTGCATAGGGTGTTAAGAAGGGTTGGAGCAGGGTTATATTTAGTGTTGTAGTACGAGGGATGTTTATTTTTCAAGAGGAATTAAACCTAATATTTAGGTAAAGGTTTTTTCAATGTGGGAAATTTAATGTGGGATTAGGGAAATAGTTTGTTTATGTTTTGGGACTGGTTAAATTTAAGGAAAAAGGGGGGTTTGTAGCATGTGGAGTTTGAGGGCTTATTTCATAAGTACTCATCCCCCTATATGTTCTGTAGTCCAGTCCCCTCCTATAAATGAAAACAGATTTGCAGGACGTTATACAGTGTGCATCACTCAGTGCTATCATTGCTCTTCTTGCAAGGCACTTCCTGTATGAGAGGATATTTCTGGGCAGATGGGAAATTATCCCTTCTACTTCCTGTCCAGCCTTACTCTGGAGGAGTTGGAACAACACCGTCTATAACTGTTTCTGTGGCTCTGCATAAATGCAAATGTACTAACTTGTTTGACCTAGTGAAATGCCCCATAAACTACTAGAAACATGATGATGTGTCCAACTATGGGACCTACTGGAAACTTCCAGTTTGCTTGGAATGTGTAACTAGGTAGACAATGAGCTAAACTGGTTTGTTATGATTAAAGAATTAAATACCTGTAAATGGATGATGTGTCCAACTGTGGAATCTACTGGAAACTTCCAGTTTGTTAGGACCAGGTAGACAAGGGGTTAGACCGGTTTGATCTGTTGACTGAATGGAATGACCTGGAATGTACCAGAAATGGATGTATAGAAATGTACTACTGCTTGGCAATAGCTATGTGGACAATTCTAACTATCTTTCTACTCCTAACTCTAACACACATATGTAAATAAATACACAAACACACACGTACACACATATACACACACACCCACACACAGTCTCTCTCTTGTGGTCATAGAAAAAGGCAGAGAGAGTGCAAGTTGGTTGTGGTAGGACTGTAAATAAAGAGGGCCCACCAAGAGGTAATGATTAATAAAGCAAGTAGTGTGTGGGATGAACCATATGCTAACTGGCCATACGAGGAGGTGACCTGTGATTAAATAGGCCGGGGAAGGATAATACAATAGGAAGGACAATACATGGGAGTGATAACTATGTGGGGGGAACCTTGCCAAAGGCTGTAGCTTTAGGCAGCTTGGCAGGGATCAGCGATATGCCCCTTCCCCAGGTCTCTGTGTTCTGTGCTCCCCTCCTTCCCAGTCTCGACCACCTCTAGTTGTGAAATTGATAAGTTCAAAGTTCAGTCTCTGCTTTAGCATCTATGGATCATTATCCGAGTATAGAATTAGGGCCGTTTCTCAGTGTGGGAGTAGTAGTGCATCATCTGCTCCCCAGTGTTACCTGATGGAGTGGTCTCTCAACTTTTTGGCAGCTGGGGCCAGCTTACGTTTCTCCATCAGGACAGAAAAGGGTAAGTCCCTGAAGAGTGTTACCGAACTGCCTTCAAATTGTATGCTTCCCATCGCTCTGGAGCGGGCCCGATGGCGGAGTGAACAGCTATGTCTCTATTTACTATGGTCGTGTCTCTGGGGCCTTCAACCTGGGAGTAGGGTAGTAGTGCTTCCCCATTGACTCTCTCTGGTATTCCGCTCAGGTGGACATTCCGACGCCTATGTCAACATTCTATTACGGTCACAGCCCGGTTTATTTGTTTGACCTGTTGAGTGAGTTCCTTCACTTGGGTCCTGGTGTCCTGCAGCCGCTTGTCCCGTTCCTCTCCTCCACTACCTTAATCTTCTGCTGGACAACCCAATCCCAGGTCTCTTTGACTTTCCAGAAAGTTTGCCTTCCACACTTTCCAGAGGTCAAGGAGCAGCTTTTTTATATCCCCCTTGGAAGAGGGAGATGAGCCTTCATCAGATTCAAAATCTTGATTGACCTCACTCTGCTGGGGGATGACAGGTGACTCCACAACCTCCTGGGGCTCCTCTGAGCCTCATCTTTAAAGGAAAGTCGAATATCTGGCATGTAAGGGCTCTCTGCTCAGCAACACATATTGTGTTTGCACCCCACAATGTCCTATGGAGGGCAGTGTAGTAATGGTGTTCGCAAAGCCTGTAGTTAGGGTAAAGTCATCTTTGTTACAGATCTGGTGCAGAGCTCCACAGAAATGTGTCTATGCAGTAACTTAGTTAGTCATGCCCCCCTAAGTCCTAGTCTTTTAATTATGTGTACAGGGAAGTTCTTACTAGATGCGGTCCCAATTCTAAATTAATGTCTTGAAAACAATGAAGGATCACAGACAAATCCTTCGATTTGTGTCCTAACGTACAAGATGAATTTAGATGTTGTGAGTGGGTTACCGTGTAACCTTAACAGAGGTGTATTCCCAAGATGACCTGTAGTGAATGGCAAAATTGATCAAGTATTTTTACTGGGCACTATTTATTGTCAGTATAGGTATATGTCTGTGGGTGGTCCCATTTGATTTTTTTTTATTGTTGCAGTGTAAGTGTATAATGATCCCCTGTTTTTTTAAATCATAGCTTTTGAGGCATTGGAATGTACCAGTAGCACTGGGACTTGTAGGTTTCTGGTTTTCAGCTTGGTCTGGCTCAGAAGGAGGGTCTAGCAGGAGTGCTGGAGAGGGAAAAATATTTTCCTTGTTTCTGAGGCATGAGACATACAAGACAAATGAAATTTTTAAGAAATTGTAATAGAACTTGCAAAGCATGCAACCCTAAATCAACTGGCGACTTACTTGGTGCCGAGTGGCGAAGAAATTAGCTAAACAAGGGGAATATGGTCAATGCCCAAATAAGAAGCCAAAAATGTGTCATGGTTTTATGGCCAAATGAGGGCCAGATGTGAACGTATAGAAAAGAAACTTAACATTTGGTAGGTCAATGTGGCAAAGCCAAATGAGGGCTGAGTGTGAATGACTTGGATAGAGTGTGATGTGTGAGTCTAAGAGGCCCCAGTGAGATTTGAACTCACGACCCCTGGTTTACAAGACCAGTGCTCTAACCCCTGATATGGTATATTTTTGCACCTATATTTAACCTTATTGTCCTTTTATTTCTATTTTGTCTCTATTCTATTTTTTTATAATATTTATAACCCCCCCTTCTCCCTTTGACATAACCAGAAAATTGCTTTTGTTTGCTTTGGAGGGATGGGTGGATTTAAACTTGTGGCCCTCGGGGGTTGGGTGTATTTTGCTGGTGGTGCACAAGCCCGCTGACCTGTTTTTCCAGGTATAGTTGTGATAAGGCCGAATGAGGATCAGGTGCAACTTAACAAACTCTAGGATGGCATATGAGGGCGTAGTGAGATGTTGAGGGTGTATGGTAATGTGAGATGAGGGCCGAATACTCGAGAATGATTGTAATTAGTGATGTCCCGAACGGTTCACCACAGACGGCGAACATATGCGCTGTTCGGTCCGCCCCCTATTCGTCATCATTGAGTAAACTTTGACCCTGTACCTCACAGTCAGCAGACACAATCACAATCAGCAGCTTCACAATGAATGTAAAATGGATGCTGTCCAGGAGGTGTGAGGGTCTGGGAGGGAGGGTCTGCTGCTGATTGGCTGGAATGTGTCTGCTGACTGTGAGGTACAGGGTCAAAGTTTACTCAATGATGACATAGCGGGCTGACCGAACAGCGCATATGTTCGCCGTCCGTGGCGAACCGTTCGGCGAACCGTTCAGGACATCACTAGTTGTAAAGACTGATAGTAATTAATTATGGCCAGTAATGTAGCCAAGTTGCTGACATTGACATAGTCTGTAATAGGTCTTAAAGTGGAATGTAACAATAATCGTCTTTAGCTGAGGCGTTGTTAAGGGCAAATAACCATTTAACAGCTCTGTAATTTGACCGACACAAGACTGTAATTACAACTAGAATATGCATATGTAAAGCCCGGATAGGGCCAAAATCAACATAATTAGTAGCAGACAGATGTTATATTATAAATACAACTAAAACATGCAGTGTACAAATGATTATTATTATATGTATAAGCCCAATTCAAGCCAACAAAACTTGTGATTGTCTGCTGTAATAGTGACCATAAGGTCAAGGTCACAGTAGGCCAAATGAGGCCTCATGACCTAAAAGTGTACATGTAAAATACTTAGAGACTGATCGAGGGCCAAATGCGACCTTATATAATGATAATATGGCCAAATGATGGTCTGCATTAAAAAAAACCTGACATTTATACATAGTGGCCGAATGAATGTCAAATGCAATTGTAGCAATGCGTTCTAGCCGACCACAGTATTGTTAATATATTACAGTATTGTTAATATATTATTTAGGAATGGCAGTATTGTTAATATATTATTTAGGAATGGCCGAAAAGCGAACCTTAAAACTCCAAAATTGCCTCATGAGGGACGAATGTACTTGTGGCTTTTAGTTCTAGCCGAACAAGTTGTCATTATTAAAGATGGCTGAATGGCAAAAAGCAAATGTTAAAACTCAGCTATGGCCAAACATGGGCCGAATGAGAGTGACATATAAGTCTATTAGTTTGGCAGAAATGCGGGCCAAAATGCCATGATTCAATATGTCCAAGTGTGGGCTGAACAACAGTGCCTGTATGTGTGATGGGAAAAGGCTAAAATAGGTCAAATGTTCATATATTATAGCTGGCAAACAAGGGCAGAATGAAATAACTCCCTGTTAGATGCCACCGAACGTGGTCAGATGAGATGAAGGGAAGCCACGGCTGGGCTAAATGCTGGTAGCTTCACCGGTGCTTGTAGGCTGAGCCTTCAAAATGGTTAAGCGAGCCAAATTGGTGCCTGCAGAGGCACAAACAATGGGAAAGCCATGTGTATTGGGCCTTCCATGTGTTGTAGTAAGCTGTGTGTTGCAAGGCACAGATTCTTGGACCAGAACCGGAAGTTAAAGGTCAGTGATAAACCATATGATAACTGCCAAAAGGAGGGGATAAAATAGGCACATTGAAATTACTCTGGTTTTCAAGTACGTCCTGTGGATGTTACCTTAGCCCAACATCCAGGTGTTGTTATAGATGATTTTCAATATTTATTTCAGTGTAAATTCCAGATCGATGGTTTCCATTTAATTTTCTATCACCAGGTGATATAATGTGTTTTTTCCCCATTCTTGTTTACCAATTCACACGATTTCCAGATAAATGCCCTTACGTTAAAATAACCTCTCTTCTTGAGCTATTCCTCAGGGCAAGCAGCACTTAAAGCAGCCACAAAGTATTGTTTGGATAACACATGAAAAGACCATGCTTAAATGTATAACTGCGCCATCAACTAAGCTCCAGAAAACAATTAACCTAAAAATAAATATTCTGTATAGATATACACACTGTATATGGGGATGGGGGAGACACTGGGACCCTCAAATCTAAATAAATTATATTGCGATATATTAGAACACATTAAAGAGCTGTGTAGCACCCACTAATCTCAGGCAGGATAGATAGATAGATAGATAGATAGATAGATATTAGTTAACCAGTTAAATACTGTGTATTGTTGGTAGATTTAATTGAGACAATGTCAAGAATTTTATTTTAGAAATGCTTAGATAATAATCAAGTTGTTATAGATTTTTAAACACCATTTTCCCACTTTGCACTTGACTACGTGATCAGTAGCCAACAATTTACAACACCAAAATAAATACTGTTTATAATAAATGACTTCTATTTTCAGAAGTTTATTTAATGAATAAAGAGTGCTGGGTTCACTCCAACTTTGTAATAAATGCTATATATAAATCCCTGCTCATCTTATAGTTTTAACTAAATGTTGAAGCTGATGAGTGATGCTTGAAGTTGAAAGGAAATATTCTGGTGACAACATTACGGGTCTGTTTTTAAACATTGGATTTGACCAGTGTTTTGACTGGCATGTAACAAACATTCAGTAGATTCTTCTTAATAAGAACAAGTTTGTCTTGGCAGAAAAGTTCTTTAATGCCAGGATTAAAATATACATGTAGCTGTATGAAAGAGAATTTTGCTTTGAAATTGGCAGAAACTATAGATGACATCATCAGTGACCTGGACTGAAATTGGATGTTACAAACGTTGTTTCCTATTATGTTACATTATGTAATAAACCTGTTTTATTGGCATGTGCATAATAACAGTTTTCCTGCATGTTTGCTTTTTTTTAAAAAAAAATCTTTCATATATAATGTTTTTACTATATTTCTGATAAAATAGTTACAATGCAGCCGGCTAAATATTTTGTTATTTTATAAATTAAATGAACGACATAAATTATACAAATAAATATATTAAAGGAACACTATAGTCACCTAAATAACTTTAGCTAAATAAAGCAGTTTTAGTGTATAGATCAGTCCCCTGCAATTTCACTGCTCAATTTACTGTCATTTAGGAGTTAAATAACTTTGTTTCTGTTTATGCAGCCCTAGCCACACCTCCCCTGGCTATGATTGACAAAGCCTGCATGAAAAAAAACTGGTTTGACTTTCAAACAGATGTAATTTACCTTAAATAATTGTATCTCAATCTCTAAATTGAACTTTAATCACATACAGGAGGCTCTTGCAGGGTCTAGCAAGCTATTAACATAGCAGGGGATAAGAAAATCTTAATTAAACAGAACTTGCAATAAAGAAAGCCTAAATAGGGCTCTCTTTACAGGAAGTGTTTATGGATGGCTGTGCAAGTCACATGCAGGGAGGTGTGACTAGGGTTCATAAACAAAGGGATTTAACTCCTAAATGGCAGAGGATTGAGCAGTGAGGCTGCAGGGGCATGTTCTATACACCAAAACTGCTTAATTAAGCTAAAGTTGTTCAGGTGACTATAATGTCCCTTTAAATAATACAAATTGTGTTTCAGAAACAGTGGAAAGTATTTGGCAAGTTATCCTTCTCTTTCTGCTTTATGGTGGTGAATCATGGATTATAATGTCTGGCTCACCCAAAGAAACAAGATATAGCAAATAATAAACTTAACAAATAAGACACTGGAAAAGGTGCATCTAAATCTGGCAGAATCCCAGCGATAATGATATCATTACAAAAATCAAGAAAATCAAAGGCAGTGGGCAAAAGATTATGCCAAAAGATCTGATAGCAGATGGGACAGACACACACTCAGACACAGACACTCTGTTCTACAAAGAAGTAAGAATATTTTAGCACTTATTGTTAAATGTTTTAAATCGTGAGCACAGTGTTAAAGAGATACTCTAAACACCAAAACAACTTTAGCTTAAGGAAGCAGTTTTGGTGTATAGATGATTCCCCTGTAGCCTCACCGCTCACATAATTTCAGATCATAACGTTGTTTATGCAGGTCTAGCCACACCTCCCCTGGTTGTGACTCACACAGCCTCCATGAAACAAATGATTTTGTTTTGAATTAGAACTTACAGCACAATATCTTTACTGAACTTGTGGAATTGTTTTTTTTCATCTGAATTTCATGCATTTTGCTGATTCGTACAAAACATGAACTAAGAAATTGCAATTTGTACAAAATGTCCAAACACGGACATACACTTCATGCATTTGCCATTTGTCTAATTACAAGGAGGGAGCTATCGTAATTATTAAATACTGTAATACTGGAATTAGATTATTTAGATTGCTCTTATGGCCAACTCCGAAAAGGCAGCGTTTACATTCAAAAGCCTGCATGGACATGCTATAGATTGTGGCTGATCAGTGGATACTTTTTGAATAATTTTTTATGACTATCTCATAACAAGCTAACTGAAACAGTGCCCATAGATACCTAAAATGGGGTTGCGAGGACAGTGTAGCCATGCATGTTGTGATGTGTTATGCACATCTGATACCCTTTGCGCAGCCATATAGTTAGATGATGATAGACAGACAGACAGACAGACAGACGACATGGATGCTGAGTGGGAAGTGCTGGTAAGAAAAAAAGGTTTTTTATAAGTGATCCCTTATTAGGATATAAAAAATGTCGCATACACTTTAATGTAATATTTAAGTAGGTTTTGAGACATATCTTAAACCACTTGGGAAAAAATAGTTTACAGACCGGAATACTTGTTACTGCAAATATTTCTTGTTTTCTTATTGTTTCAAAAAAAATATGGTTTACCAGTAATAAATGCTAAAATGGAGAGTTTTAATGGGAACATTTTATCCAGACTTTATTACGAAATAGGAATGCTCTGAGCTCCTGGACTTAGCTGTTCTTAATGAGACCCATATTTCCTCACTTGTCACGGTCAGGTCTTAAAATACTTGCCACTGTCAGGGTTTCAGGAGCGATTCAAATTATGACACTAATTTTCCTTTTACAACTCCTTAAGGACAGAGGAACAGTTAGGACCCAGGTGCAATATTAGAAGTCTTTTATGGCCCTTAAAAAAAACAAAAAAAAAGTATGTAATTTAACTTTCCCAATATAAAACTGCACGGATAAAAAAAAATGTAAGAATCAACCTTCATAAATGTCTAACTATTTCCCCCACCAAGTGGACAATGAAACATTTTGCTTATGTAGAGAACCTATCAAGACTATCAAGATTAGGGTTAGTGCACAGTAAACTCATGCATTGGAAAAAAAATTGGTTTATCTGGAAAAAAAATAAAAAAAAATTTGGGTTTGGATTAACCAAATTCGTGTATATGGTATTTCAGTTTGGACAAATTTTGTTTATTCAGTCGTTTCAGGAAAATTTTTATTCAGATGAACCAAAATGGCATAAAAATGCACCTATTAGTGTACTGAAATGCACAAATTGATAAAATATAGCCTAATTGCAAGGCAATATCAAGCATTTTTGCAATGTAAATTGTCAGAATTATATTATTAAATATGTATTAAAAAAATTAAGTGAGAAAACATAATCTTATAATGATTGTTTCTCTTTTAATAAACATGTAAATAATGAAAAAGTGGACTAGCAGCAGCAAGAGTAATTTTAATGCCATAAAAAAAAAAAATCAAGAAAAAAGTGAGTGAGCAATTGATGACACACTCACTCTTTCCACCCTGGGGAGAACAAAGCTTTCCGACACGTCTAGTCTGTATAGTAAGTGACTATCCTTCCATCCTGGGGTGGTAGCAGGCATAGCCACAACACAAGACTTAGCCAAGGAGAGCGAACCCGATACAATAAACAACATGTGAACACATTAGAACCACCCCACCAAATTTCAGAATATTTTTAGGAATTTAGAAAAAAAATTTGAAGTGAAATATATTTTCTTTTTTTTCTTTACTTTACTTTACTTTTTTTATGGTTACATTGAGGATTTTGTGCTCTCCTGTATACCAAGTGCTATATTATTGTCTAGCAAGTAGGTCTGATATTGCAACATTGCAGCATTGCAGCATTGTATGCTATAGCAATATTCAGGTTGCTACATTTATTTTGTATCTCAGCATTCAAAGACTGTAGTGTACCAGTATTTTGCATTACTGCTCAACTTTCTTACTTTTGCACCAATTTGTGTGTATTTTTATCTATGTTTATACATATATATATATATATATATATATATATATATACACACACACACTATTTATGGTTTCTTTTAACTTGCATTATATTGATTTCTATTATTATTAGGTTATTATTTATATAGCGCCAAAAAATTACGCTGCGCTTTACAGTGGGTGGATGAACAAACATGTAGTTGTAACCAGACAAGTTGGACACACAGGAACAGAGGGGTTAAGGGCCCTGCTCAATGAGCTTATATTCTAGAATGAGTGGGGTAAAGTGACACAAAAGGTAAGGATAGTATTAGACTAATGACCGTTGCAAGAGAGAAATTAGTCGGGAGCTATTAACAGTTTAATTGATACGCTTTAATGAAGAAGTGGGTTTTTATTGATTTTTTTGAAGAAGTGGAGACTGGGTGAGCATCTAATGGAGGAGTGAAGTGAGTTCCACAGGAACGGTGCAGCCCTTGAGGTCTTGAAGGCGAGCATCAGAGGTGGGTGTACGGACAGAATATAGACGTAAGTCTTCAGCAGATCGTAAGGGCCTAGACGGGACTTGCTTGTGTATTAGGGAGGATAGATAGGTGGGACCAGCATTATGTAGAGATTTGAATGCAAGAACCAGAATTTTAAATTGAGCCCTATATCTTACAGGAAGCCAATGTAGGGACTGACAGAAGGGTGAGGTGTTGGAGGTGTGGGCGGACAGGAAGACGATCCTCGCCGCCACATTCTTTATGGACTGTAACAGCGCAGGTTGGGAGCACGTAAGACCACTGAGAAGCAGATTACAGTAGTCAAGGCGAGAAAGGACAGTGGAATGGACCAACACCTTAGTCGCATCTGGCGTTAAGTAGGGTCGGAGGCGCACAATGATTTTGAGATAAAGAACAGTAGGGGACCAAGGACTGAACCTTGGGGGACACCAACAGAGAGGGTTTTGGGAGAAGAAGCAGAGCCAGAGAAAGAAACACTGAAAGAGCGCTGGGAGAGGTAGGAGGAGCACCAGGAGAGAGCAATATCTTGTAGATCAATATTGCGGAGGATGAGAAAAAGCTGTTGATGATCAACAGTGTCAATAGCCGCAGAAAGGTTAAGGAGAATTAGAATAGAGTAGTGACCATGAGATTTTGCAGCGAGTAGATAATTGGATACTTTGGTCACAGTTGTTTCAACAGAGTGCCGAGCACGGAATCCAGACTGAAGTGGGTCTAGCAGAGAGTTGGACTTGAGGAAGTCTGTCAATCTAGCATACACAACTCTTTCAAGGATCTTGGATGCAAAAGGCAGTAGCGAGATAGGATGGTAGTTGGACGTGGAGTTAGGGTCAAGGTTGGGCTTCTTTAGAATTGGGGTTACAGTTGCATGTTTGAAGGGCGATGGAAATATGCCAGAGGAGAGAGAATTTTAGTGAGAGGTAGAGAAAGAGAAGAAGACAGAGTACTGATGAGATGCGAGGGAATTGGATCTAGAGAGCAGGTGGTGGGGCGGGAGGACTGGAGCAGAGAAGAAATCTTTTCCGCTGTAGCAGGTGCGAATGAAGATAGAATAGCAGAGGGAATAAGATTAGGGGAAGTATTGTAAGGAGAAGAAGAAATATGAGAGATCTCTTCCCTGATTGTAGAGATCTTGTCAGTGAAGTGAGTTGCAAGTCTGAGGCGGTCAAGTTAGTAGGTGGAGGAGGAACAATAGGGTGAAGAAGAGAGTTAAATGTGTGAAATAGTCATTTGGATTCGCTGGAGAGTGTGGTTATGAGGGTATTGAAGTAATTTACTTTTGCAGAGGAAAGAACAAAGCTGTATGAGCGCAGCATAAATTTATAGTGGAGAAAGTCAGACGTACAGTAAGACTTTCTCCAACAGCGTTCAGCAGTTCTGGAGCATTTTTGGAGGTATCGAGTCAGCTTGGTGTGCCAAGGTTGTTGTTGGGGGCACTTGCTGCGTTTAAATGTAGGAGGTGCCTTGATGTCTAGTTAAGAGGAAAGGGTGGAATTGTAGAAGGAGGTAGCAGAGCTAGGACAGGTGACGTTTGAGATTAGTCAAAAGAGTTTGGAGATTAGTGGAGAAATGCTCTAGGTCAAGAGGTTTATGTGAGATTAATGTTCAGATGGTGGTGTCAATTGGGTCTTGGATATGCCGATGTCAAAAGTCAGCAGATGGTGGTCAGATAGAGGAAAAGGAATATTGGAGAGATTATAGGCGGTACAGAGATTGGAGAAGGCGAGATCAAGAGTGTTTCCCGCTGGATGGGTTGCTAAATTGGACCATTGCATGAGGCCAAAGGAGGAGGTTATAGAGAGCAGACGAGAGGCATCAGTGCAGGGGTTGTTGATTGTGATATTGAAATCCTCAAGTATAAGGGAAGGAGTGATAGATGAGAGGAAGTGGGGAAGCCAGGAAGAAAAGTGCTCAATGAATAGCCTAGAAGGACCGGGGTGAGGGAATGTGGGGAGGAGGAGGGGCGGTAGATGATAGCAATTCTTAAAGGAGTGGGTTTAAATAGGCGGACAGTGTGAACTTCAAAAGAAGAAAAGGATAGGGCAGGGGCAGTTATGATTGGTTAAAAGGTACATTGAGGGGAGAGAAGGATGCCTACACCACCTCCTTTACAGTTGAGTCTGGGAGTGTGAGAGAATTGAAGCCCACCAAAACATAAAGAGGCAAGAGTAGCGCTATCAGAGGGGTTCAGCCAGGTCTCTGTAAGTGCAAGCGGTGTGAGTGAGTTTGAGATAAAAAAAAGTTGTGTATGGCTGTTGATTTTAAATTACTGCAGATGGAGCGGGCATTCCAGAAAGCACACTGAATGTTGGTAAGTGAGGGTAAAGGGCAGGGTATTGTGATGAGGTTTGTGGGGTTTCTGGTTTTCTTAGTGTGTGTAGAGAAGGCGAAGGGCCCTGGATTGGGAGATACATCACCAGCTGCTAGAAGCAGGAGGAGAGAATAAAGCAGGAGGAGAGAAACAAGAGTTACCTGTTTCTGCTTTATCTGAATATCTGCTCCTGGCTATTCTTGCACATTGGTGTAAGGATTTTTTATTATAGTCAAGACTCAGCCTGGCCAGGCAAAATCCCTACATTGAAACACATTTTTTTTAAAAGAGGAAGCACCAAGAGTAAATTAATTTGATATTTTTTAATGAGGTAAGTGAACTAGGGGACGTCCTAATGTTGCTGCTAAAGGTACTCTCAGTATGTATTTAGGAAATTCCTGAATGCTTTGCAGACATGTTGCTTCTTCTAGTGCGCCTAGCTGACTCTTCTGCTGCAACTAAAGAGTATTCTGCTAGTTTAGACTTTTACCAACTGCAGCATAAAAAGGCAGAGGAAAAAACATAGTGCCTCCTGGGTGGAAGTTGGATGTAACGGACATACAAGTCCAGCTATCCTGAGGCTGATCCAGTCGTTTAGCCATCACTATTTTGCCCTTGTCAAAGTCACTTTCACTTACCCATTTTTCCTGCTTCTAACACATGAAATGAGAACTGGCACTTACTTGCTTAAGTAATTGGTAAGCAGAAAAGAGTAATCAGTTTGCAGAATAAAACAGTAAATCCTTCGTCTGCTAAGAGAATCCAGTCCTGTATGTATATATCTGTAATGTAGTGCCTGCAATGTGTAAAATTACATCTGGAGCTCATTATTTTCAAGATGTTGGACTTGCATTATAGAAATGTTATTGAGTAATATGATTAGGAGAAAAGTAGTATGATTAATAAACACAATAAATAAAAATGAGATATTGATGAAAAATCGGTGGCGATTAACGACATCCCTCCAAACCCCAGTGGATACTCAGACTAAGTTTTAGTTTGCATTACAAACAATTTTATCAAGGCCGCCTACCATACCCCTGCCCCAGCACTAGGTTTCAGTGGAGAAATGAATTTCTTCACTGGGGTGCTGGTGAAGACAGACTGAATATAAATTAGTATTTTCTAGTGATGGTAGATATAGGGAGATAAAATACCTCCATTATAGCAATATAAGTGTCTTATTGAACCCCATATGCTTTTTATTTATTTTACTTTTTTTTATGTAGTGGCAGGCTAGCAAATTCTGGCCAGCCCCCATATAAATAACCTTCATGCCACAGAGTTTTTTTTTAATTATTTGCCCACTAACTGCACGGATAGTTGTCAAATAATTCTTCAAATTATGAAAGCAAGTGAATGATCATTTGAAAATGAGCACCACGCAAGATGCATTTTGGCCCTGAATTTCACCAATATTGGTGCATTGTGAATCCTACGAATCCTATACTTTGTACACGATTCAGATGCGTAAGCACCGATTTTAATCTGGGCCCGAAATACATTTGTGTGATTACTGCAGATTCACTTGTGCCGACTGAATTGTGATTTTGGTTATTTTCACCAGATTTTATCTATTTGGAAACAAATCCTGCGTTTATTGAATAAACCCAATTGATTTCACGAATATAAAATATAATATATTTTCTTTCCTAGTTTGTTGCAAAATTGGAAGTGCTTCAAACTGGGTGGGGCTTTTGCCTTCTGTTGGATCAACAGCAAAAAACAAATGTGAGAAAGGCTGAACTTGATAGACGCAAGTCTCTTTTCAGCTATGTAACTACGAATGAAGTCTTTAATGTGCTTTTTAATTGTCAGCATTAAAACTGAGATTCCCACCTGGTTATTAATTCAAACTTATGTCAGTTTGGTGACAATTATGCAGCGTATAAGCTGCTTACAAAGATTGGAGATTGCAACAAATGCAGAATCTTTATGTCAGCTTTTTTTAATTAATGTATAGTTGCACATGCACAAATTACTGCTTTATTGTTAAAACACAACCCTGGAGTGTCCCTATAGTGTATAAATGAGTTTTAAGATATTATACAAGCAGAAATAGGGTAATTGTGTGAAGCCTGCTCTTATTTTGAGGGAAAAAAATGAGGTTTATTCACTAAACAGTAAATTGCTATGAATTTAAAATTGTTTTGCAAAATTTAAACCAAAATAGAAAAGCTGTGGCTGAGTTTCATTTTTTTTAAATACCAAATTTTGGAATTTGGAATTCAATTTACAATTTTTTTCCAGTTCAGTGAATAAACCCTACAGCCACCAAATATATGCTCCTTTAAAAGTGTGTTTTGGACCTCTTCAAATCTCACTGTATTTCTTTCCAGCTCAGTAGCACTTCCTGAAGGCCACAAATACAGGACGAGACTGGAGAATCACTACCTCTTCTTCGTGTAAGTCTTATTTATGTTGAATTTAGTTGCATGTCTCATCTACTGATTTTACTGTGCTGCATAAAATATTGGCATTTCATAAATAATATCTGATCTACTACTTTTAAATTATATATCCAGGGGCCTAAGTGATTGCACATTTATATTATATTACCCAACTGTTATAAATGTATAACTTTGCAATAGCCGATGGCCAAAGAATGGATTAAGATGTCAAACAATTGGTCTTCTGTTAATGGACTTTTCTTGACTAAACCAATAGATATCACAGCCCAACCAAACATACATGGATGGCCCTCAGCACATATATCAAAGCTCCCTCTGGACAGTCAAGATGAGGCCTGTTTTTGTTACTTTTCCTAAATGACAGCAACCAGAAGTAATGTTCCCTATTTTTTGTCTTACTTGGTGTGTGCAGAAATTTTCTCTTGAGCAAATTTTTTTCCTCCTCCAAAATTGAATGCTTGTGCTAATGTAAACTTCAAATTATTTCTTGATAATTTGGTATAGCCTCGGTCTCATAGTTTATAACATTACATTATAGGATTACTGCGTGACAATGTAGCATTAGTAGTTACACAACAGCATTACTGTAATGTCAGCCATTCAGACAGACAAGCCTTGCTGCTAATGCCCATTTTGGTCTTCAAGACAGTCCATCGAAAGCAATCAGGGCCAGACTGGCCTACCAGGACACCATGAAATTTCATGGTGGGCCGCAGCACCTGGGGCTGGGCAGTGTAGCCATTGTTTCTGCCTGCCTTTTACTTGTGAAAGATGGCTGTCTTATCTGGTAAGTGCTGGTATAAAAAAGTTTCCAAGGCTGCTTTTTAGTCACAGTAAGGCCCTGAAAGCAATAGGGGTCAACTGCGCCGAAAAGGATACACACAATTAAAAATGTTCACATTCTCCAGCTTGTTGCCTATATATTTCGCCCCAAAGCTTCAGCTTGTGTCACCCATAGATTTTTCAAAAAGAGCTCTTTGTCCAATAAATGGTGACATATACATTAATGCTTCTTAAACACGCGCATAAAAACACTGACTCTCAGTGACAGACACACAATTTCACTGATTTGAAACACACACTGACACACACTCTCAATGAGAGACACACACTCTCACTGTTTAGAAACACTCACTGACAGACACACTCACACATTAATTTTATTTCTTGTTGTTATATTTTATTTTTTTATTCCATCCAGCCTCCCTATCTTTAGGAAAATTGGTGTGGGTACCCTCCCTGGGGTCTAGTGGGGAATTTCTGATTGGGTCCTGTGGGGATCTTCTTTCTGAGGTCCATTTGGGATCTTCTCTCTGGGATCCAGAGGGGATTTTCTCCCTGGGTCCAATGGGGATCTGCTCTCTAGCGTACAGTGGAGATTTTTGATGGGGCTAGTGATGCTGGGGCCTGAGTGACATCATATTTCGGTTCACGGCATCACCACAGTGGGCACGCAAGGGAGCAGGAGGTACAGGTAACACATCATCAGTGCTTCCTCGCCACCTGCCTGCTCTCTCCTCCATGGTATATATCGACAGAGTAGACACCTGCTTTGTGAGGAACGCAGATGCCTACTCTGCATTACTGAATAAATGCCTGCTTTTGGGGCGACCTAAGATGGGCCCCCCTGACAGGCCATTGGCCCGCCGCTGGTGGCGCCCTCCACCCTCGGGCACCTGGGCCCTGTGCACGCCGTGCATCCATGCAGTATCGGCCCTGCCAGCAGGTGATAAGTTTAAAAATAAAATGTAATTTTTACACTGTGTGCGCTCCCTCAGAAAGGTATGTGCACGTACAGGAGCACCCCTTAGAGGGCACTCTGACCAGAAGTGTAAAAAGGCTTCAAGGACACACACAACTTCAGTTCTGAAGGTGTCACAGAGGAAGTTGGGACATGTTATTCTGTTAACAATATTGACACCTACACGTAACCGCTGCATATCCTGTATTTTGCCTACCCAAGGGTGACTGGACACAAAGTTAGGAATTAATTTGCTTGGACGCTTCATTGTGTGACAGCGTGGCTATATATGTGCTGTATAGCAAGTAGTTTAACAGCACAGGACAGCATCAAGATAATTATTCTCACACACAGCCACTAAAATAGTGTAGATTGTAATAGCCTTGCATGCCAGACCCTTCTCTTACCACTCATATACATGCATTCTACTGCTAAATACATTTTTTATATTATAGGAGAATTTGCAATCTTAGTTACTTATTCCGGTATTCAGAGGATCCTTTTTTTACACTAACTATATCAGCTCACATCTGTTCTCTTACCTTTGGCCTCTATTTAATGTAATCGTTGAGAATCTTCACATTAATAAGAATTCCATTTTAAGCTCTCATTCTTTCTCTTCAATTACAGAACCTTCACTCCTTCATGATGTATCTCCTAGTGATGACATCTAAAACATTGTTCGAGAATCCTCTGAAATGCCTCCACTGGTGGAAAATCAATATTTCTATTATCTATAAAATCTCTCTTTGAGATATATAGCTTTCTAAACAACCACATATGTTGCATTATCTAATGTAAATTTTCAGTAACTAATATTGGCAGGATACTTACTTAGAATTCTATTTATGCAATCTCTATTTGTGGAACACTTACAAGAAAGCTTGTAAAATATTGCTTACTTAATACCATGAATGTTATTTTTTATCTGGGAAATATAGCTATTATTTTTTCTGGTAAATGTGCGGTTCAGTTGTTTGATTTGTGTGTACTGAAAGAAAAATACTCTGGCTTTTAATAATTGGAGGGGGATAGTTTCATTGACACATACATGTGACACATACATGTGCAACACTTTTATCAGGTGCACAACTTTGCAAATACAAGGCTCTAAGAGTGCTCATGCAAAGCAACCCTGGGTGGTGCATACCCAGCACACATTTATCACGTACTAGCCTCAGATGTTTTGCAGTTGTGGCAATTCTGGATGTGTTTTTGTTCCTATCATTTTGCCTGTTTTGCCATGATTGATCTATAGCTTACCTGCCTTTTACCTTATTCCCATTCCTTGGGTCCTTATTTTAGGCAGCAGATGCTGCCCAAATTCCCACGGCCACATTAACATTATAGCTCAATCAGGAAGAATCGGAGTTTACTAAAATTGCACACTTCTAGTTTTTAGAGCCTATCCTTATGTTATACTAGAGTGACTCTACAATTACATGTGGAACAATATTACATGTTTCTCTAAAATGAAAAGAAACTGCATTCATTGTTCTACCACCAACTATTATATTCTATGAATCATCCCATGACCCAATAGAATTGATTTTCTCCTACTGAACCATTCTCTATGGTCATAGAATAAAGGATATTTATTTATATGTCTCTTGCCCTGAGCTTTGGCCGATATACATGGAATTCATGAGTTAGCAAGAACTGGAATAACACAGTTGTTTTTCCAAAACTCCCTGTGAGCGTGGCATTATACACAAAAGCAATTTCATGTAATAAATTGAGATCCACGTTAAGCAGTGTTGCAAGAAATGTCAAGTTAGCATGAAAGAGAGTTTAAACACATAGACGAAGATAACAATTTGTGCACACTTATGTATGTCTGAATATACCCTCGAATAAAATGTACAGGGTATCAATTAGCAAGTCCCTGTTTTATGTGGCTAAGGCAAACAGAACTGACTTGATAAATAGGTTTGATATAATTATGGAGAGAAATGCATAAATGAAAGGAATTCTATAACTAAATACAATTTTGTGCCACATAAAAGAGGATTTGACATGTATATTCTTTTTAATGTATAGGTTTCAGTAGATAAACATTTTGCTACATAAATAGATAGCTGTTTTGTGTGTCTTTTTATAATTTCAGTTATCTGTGACTTTGTTCTTTGAAATTATATAGAGCTAGTGTATAACTGATTTACAAAAGTCATGGGGAAGCTATCAAGCATAAAGTGATATTGGAGGCACCATAACAACTCTATCTCAATAAATGCGTTATGGTGCCTGAAGGTTTTGGGTGCCATCATATCTTAAAGTGTTTGACCATTTATGAATTGTGTAGACAGTGTACGTCCACTCTGTCTGTCTTCTTCAGATCAAGTCCTCTTCTACATTGTGGAGGCCTTGGACCTGGTGCTGGTGATAGAGAGCAGCATAAGCTGCTCTTAGCCTCACTAGCTAGCTTCACTAGGCTCTTAATAAGAATACTGTGTGCGAATGTTATGTATGTCCAGGAAACATAATAAATTAATTTAGATTAAGTTGTTATGGTTCCTGGAGTGCTTTTTTAAAGGAAAATGAAACCTCCAATAAATTATGTTCTGTTACCTCAAAATAATATGCTCGCTGATTTGCCACAGTCTTTTTAAAAATGGCTTAATGAAAACTGCAAATCTCTTGAATACCTATTAACACGGCTGCTTTAGGACTTTGACAAACCCCATTACAAAATCACTGGAAAGGCACCCCGTGACTGCTAGATTAAAACACACACCCCAGAGACACAAAAACATGCTCAGGCACACAAATACACATTCCCATACTTTTATAAATAATTTTTTTAAAAAAATCATATTTATACATAATAATTTACACATAAATAAAAAGAATTATGTTGCTTTGGGGCAATTTCAGACCCTGTCCCTTTATGTTACTGTTATTCCCAACCAAGTCCTCAAGAAACATCAACAGTCCAGGTTTTGTCAGTATCTGCACTGGAACAGAATTGAAAATGCCTAGAATCCCGACTTTTGGAGTACCTTGAGGACTAGGTTGGGAACCACTGCTGTATGTTACACATTCTGTATAGCTGTTATGCCACACACATTCTAAAACTGGTTTACAACATAGTGTCCAGCAGCAAAATGCTAGCTAAGAGCATGAGAACAAAGATTTCACAGATCCAAGCATTCAAAATCAAAGCGTGGTCTGTTGAGAAAACCAGGAAGTTTTGCCAAAATGTAACAGACACCAGAGGTTTTTCAGACAAAACTTAAAAGTTGTCAGGATGGCATGACTCCAACCTTCTACTTGGTGCCAAATGATGTCACTTTAACAATAATCCTCCTTGCCAGACAGATAAACAATCTACACTTTTAAATTGAAAGTTCCGATTTGCTTTTTTAAATGTTTACACAAATATGTAGGAGTTCAAATACATGAGATATATGAACACAAATTAAGCAAATAAGATATGCTTTTGTTTTGGCACTCTCGTAGTTTTTTTTTATGGTGAGCACTCTCGTCTACACTTATACATTGAAACTAAGATGCCATATAAGTAAATTCTTTATTAATGGATGGGAGTCATATCCTGTTTATTTAATGATTCTAAAACGGCAAGTGGCCAAATAACTGTTTCGATATAGTAACCTTGAAATGGTGACTTTAACTAGGGCATGGTGTCACTTCGAAGAGTATGATGTACCTGTGGCAGCTGCAGGAGTCGCATACTCCACTTTCAAGATTCTCTAAAAGGACACTAAATCAGGTACACTTTAAACAGCAGGTTACCTTTTCAAAACGCGAGGCTACAAAAGGAACATATTTAGTTACATGTACATGGATTTATGTAAATGATTACTCTGTTCAATATTATTTAACTTAACTGACTAGTTCTCTGAAGGATTCCTAAGCAATTATCCCTTGTAAAACACTGTTGAAGGGTATTTAAGTGAAACTGTTTTCTTCAGTATTCTAGGGATTTAATGTTCTTGTCACACACATCTATTTGTACATGACACTTTATTATATCCAGACAAAAAAATGACAAACTTTCAAAGAATGGAGTTGCAAGTATACCGTAATTCATCTCAGTGTCTGCTTGGAATACAGAAATCTCCTGTGGGTACTACATAGCTGGGGATTTATGGTGTAGCTAAAAAGCAAAACCAGATTGACTTTACACTTCAACTCTGTCTTTTAAATTTTACAGCACAATATAGGGACATTTTGGTTTATCTTTACATTTAAAGTAGATATTTGTCTAACTAATTTTTAACACAAGTTTGTTCATTCCATAGCTAAATCTTGTGAATTGGGAAGAAATAAATTGCCACATTCCAAACAAAACAGAAACAGACCTGGGAACATTCTCCAAGTTCTCTATTTTGCCAATTCATTTCTCAATTCCCCACATTTTTATAGGGTTATTTACTAAAATGAGAATTATAAGTGAATTCATGGTGGATTTCTAGTTTAAGACCAAAGTAGCTGAAATGGAAAAAAAATACAATATACAGATTCCTGACATGAACAGTAGCCCTATGATTTAATTTTTGTTTATATTTATTTAAAAAAATACATGACCATTTTTAGACCTGAGAAGTGAGCATTCCATGAAAAGTTGTTCCAAAATTGTGTTAGTCTAATAAAAAAGGCATAAGGCATTACAAGATAATAACTGAATCTGTAATTCATTGCATTAATATGACTAAAATTTCTACTCCAATATTTATTTACATTTACTTTTAAATACATCAGTTTTGAATACCTTAAGTTAACGTTAACGTGAAATAGCATATGATTTAATAGGATGAATATTTATTGTTTTTCATGTTTAGTTAGGCTCATTGGTAAATGTTGGGCCGTTCTGTCATAGATTAGTCACAAGGATATTTAATAAATAATGCATGAGAGGCTGCTGGAATAGCAAAACATTCTTCTCCACATTCCATTATACGACAGACACATGTGGAACATATCTACACATTTTTCTGAAGAACACACCACCTGGTGCATAAGACAAACTGTGCCTTTTCATCCGGTAAAGGAAACTAGGTTGACCTTTCCGATAGGAAGAGCACACTCCATTTCTGATGTTCCATGATTCTTTATTACAGAACATTCAGGTAAAATGATGCATGGAAGAGAGGTCCCATTAGATGCCAGGGCAAGTGTGCATATTTAGCTGCTTGAATTAAACCATTTCCTGAAGCATATGAAACTTGTAAAAAGAAATGTCAAATTATTGACATTAACAACTAGTCAGTAGAGAAGTAAATGGGATGTCATGCAGACACAAAACAAATACAATATAGCAATATGCATTTTAAATAAGACTAAGAACACGTAGAACATGTCTTTGGTTCCAGGGTACAGTAGGGACCAAAAAAATCCCCCCCTTTTTTTTAAAGCCACAGTTGAATATTCAGACAGTGCCCACTTCTCTGTGATGACGAGAAAAAATGGTTTGAAAGATTCTCATAGCAAGCACTGAAATGGAGCAGAACAATCATGTCTATCAACATGTATGTTTGTCTAATTGAATTGCCCCTTTCTAGGCCCCACTAGATTTTATGATGTTGTAACATAGCAAGGGATACTGTGTGTTTTGCAAGTACAGGACATGGGAACATTTAGCATGGGGAGAGAGAACTGGCGTCCTGTCAAATACAGTCAGATTGATTACCCGGGACTTCTGTAGTGAAAGGAAATAGGTAAGGAAGCAACATGACAAAATACAATACAAACTAAAATAAAATGGAGAAACTACAGGAAAAACTGTCAATCCTAGTGATTTATTTATGCTGACAAAATAATGTTCATCTCATAAGAGCCATATAATATTTTTCAGTTGTGTGCATTTAAAAAAATAATATTTTACAATACAAGGATTGTATTTGGTGTCAATCCTGTAGACTAAGGCAATAATTGTATGGCATTAAGGTACATGTATCATCATTTATTATGGGGATTGGGTAACACTGAACACAATAGGTGTAATACAGAAGCAGGAGTTTCTGAGCAATGCTTATAGAGAAGTAACCCCCTTCTTTTACTATTTTCTGCTTAACAATCACTCCCAATGAATCACTTCCTTGCTTCATGTCTTAGAATTACACACTACATCTCTAATGTGATGGTTTAAATTATTTCCCCAAGGTTTACATCTGCTTGCACATATACTTCCATCATATTTAGTCCCACAAGTGATACAACAGCTGCACACAGATGTGATGTCTGGCCACATGCACAGCACCAGAAACCTTCCCTGGAAATAAAAGGGAAAGCACAAGGGACAGGATGCAGCTTTAACAACAGATTACATAAGCAGTAAAGGATGCAGGTAGGAAAATTCATTAAAGGGACACTGTAGACACTGGAACCGATTTATCTCGTTGAAGTGATTACAGTGTTTTGAGTCCCCTGGCGCTGTCCTTTCATTCAGAATTAAACCTTTTTCAGTGTTTTACTGCTAAATAAGAATCCCCATCAGCCCACCCATGTGTGCTGCTCGTTCTAATGAGGAAGCATTAATCTATGAAGTAATCGGTGGCAGTGATTGGCTGAGAGTGTCAGTTGACTGCTTTCAGCCTATCACAGTGCCCATTACTGGTATGACTTGAATTAGACGTATGTGTGTAATCTCTCAGTGGGTGCTGGGCTGTGGTTGTCCAGGGACCCTCGCTCAGTATTAATCTGCTTGAATATGTTTTAACACTAAATGGAATCAGTGCACATTTACTGATTCATCTTCAATAGTTGTGTTTACTTTGGGATCTGAATGTGAAGGCCCCTGAGACTACCATAAGCAAGGCGGAGGTCACCAATACTTCCATTGTCTTCACTGACATCTGGTAATATTTTATATGAGCATCATGTCCCTCTGTGTTTTGTGGCCTACTGAAATATTACTTTACTCTGGGGTCATGAGGCTAAGCATTTAACTCACTTCCTCTTAATTTTGACAGGGCAACTCAAACCACCATGACCTTATAACCATTCAGTTGGCTAGAACCTTCCTGGCATGCTGTTCCCTGACACCATTAAGAGACAGGTTTGCAAAATCCTGTGCAATCCCCCCATGATTTTCTACTATATAATAGCTTTTTGTTTTAGTGTTATTTCCCCACAAGCTCCGATTTTATATCTATATCTATGTCATATATAATTTCCCGCCATCTAGTGGATTTGTTGGATTTCTATGGTGAAGAAAGTAAGGGATTGAAGAAAATGGCTACACATCTGTAAGACAGCCCTTACTTTACATTATAATGTGGAGGTCACGTTTACTAAGTGATCAGTTCAGAATAGGGTTCCTAAATCCCAAACATGTAAATTCACCAATGTATCCACTTTGGGTAACATCACACCAGTCTATGTGATCTACTAAGAGCAAGACATGATCTTCATACCTCTCGATTGTGGATCCTACAAGAATAATCATCATAGGGTACCTAGAGCATGTTTACATTTGTTTTTCTTTATTGTAGTACACCAAACACTACACAGCATGAAGAGAGTTTCCCTTTAACTCCAGTGCATTGAAATCTACAGGGAACTGAGCTCAGCAAACCTTGCTTGGGTTTCTGCAAGACTTGCTGAAAACCACATTGCAATCAGCTAAAAAAAAAAAACATGCTTGGCTACACTTACCTTAACACAGGAACATAAAGAAAAATAATGAGGCGCATTAAAAAACCCCAGAAAACACATATGTTAGAAGAGGCTAAATGAGGACAACAGATTCTAGTGTGAAACAGATTACAAATTAATGTAATATTGCCAAAGAGCAATCCGTAAGCACTGCACTGCCAAAGAATTTTGAATAAACCTAGCGAACATGAAGCAAGTCCAATTCTGAACTTTATGGAGAAAACATATAAGGGTAGGACTCATGATATTATACCATCTACCAATGTATACATAATCACTGCTGTTTAGTGTGTCCCTTTAGCTCAGGAAGAGCACCAAATCTGCCACTTATTATTCCTGTCAATTACTAAGAAGCAACCTCGATTTTTATTTACACTGTTGTATGAATTAAAAAATTTAAATACTAAGCATCCAAATCACTAATGTTCAATGCAGAGGTTATAGTGCAAAAAACAGTGGATTTTCAGCTAACCACACTGTATATATTTGAATCGTATGTTGTGGGTAATATGATAAAATACTGTATATATTGATTTACACTCTAGTTTCATTTTCTTACTATAGACACTCCAAGTCAAGCATGTCAAACTCAAAGGCTAACACGGGCCGTATAAACAAGGTTTAAGTTCATAATATTGTAAAGCGCTATGGAATCTGTTGGCACTATATAAAAGGCAATAATAATAATAATAATGTGGGCCGCAAAAAAAAAAAAAAAAAAAGAGTTCGACCTAGACCAACACAAACTAAAGTTACTTGTATCATTCTCATGCAAACAATATGTAATCCTGGGTACAAATATATAATTTACTCAAAAGTTTCACTTTAAGTTACTTACTATGCCCCTCCAATCTAATACACAGCCTCCCGCAGTTCCGCCCCCCTCCAATCTAATACACTGCCCCCTCTCTCTTCACTTTGATTTAATACAGTGCCCCCACTCACACCACTCTATATACTGCCTCCCCAATCTAATACAACACCCGCCTCCCTCCAGTCAAATTTAATACACTGCCCCCACTCTAATTTAATATACTACCTACCCTTCCTCACCCAACTTTAATACACTGCCTCCCCTCCCCTCTCTCCCCCCACTTTAATACACTGCCTCCCCTCCCCTCTCTCCCCCCACTTTAATACACTGCCTCTCCTCCCTCCCCCCACTTTAATACACTGCCTCTCCTCCCTCCCCCACACTTTAGTACACTGCCTCCCCTCCCTAACTCCACTTTAATACACTGCCTCTCCTCCCTCCCCCCACTTTAATACACTGCCTCCCCTCCTTCTCCCACACTCTAATACACTGCCTCCCCTTCCTCCCCCACACTTTAATACACTGCTTCCCCTCCTCCCCACACTTTTACACTACCTATACTCCCTCCCCCACTTTAATACACTGCCTACCTCCCCACTTTAATACACTGCTTCTCCTCTCCCCAATTTAATACACTGCCTCCCTCCTCACTTTTACTACACTGCCTCTCCCTCCTCCCACTTTAACACACTGCCTCCCCTCCTTCTCATCCGCTTTAATACACTGCCTACCCTTCCTCCCCCCCACTTTAATACACTGCCTCTCCTCCCTCCGCCCACTTTAATACACAGCCTCTCCTCCCTCCGCCCACTTTAATTCACAGCCTCTCCTCCCTCCACTCTAATTTAATACACTGCTCACCCCTCCCTCCTCCCCACTTTAATACACTGCCTTCCCCTCCTTCCCCCACTTTAATACACTGCTTCCACTCCCCCCACTTTACTACACTGCCTCTCCTCCCTCCACTCTAATTTAATACACTGCCCACCCCTCCCTCCCCCTACATTTATACACTGCCAACTCCCTCCCACCACACTAATACACTGCTCCCTCCCCCAATTAAATACACCACACCCTTCCCCTCGCTTCCCCCAATTTAACACACTGTCCCCTCCCACCACTCTAATTCACTTCCTCCCACCTCCCTCACCCCAATTTAAATCACTACCCTCCCTCCCCCAATTTAATACACTGCCCCCTTCCTGCCACCCAAATTTAATACACTACACTACAGGAAGGTTCCTCCAAGCCCCTTTTCCAATCACTCAAGATTTGCATTCTTCTTCTCTTAAAAAGTGTCTCTGCTTAAAGGGACACTCCAGGCAGCCCTTTTTACGCGCACACAGTGCCTTCTCTCTCCTGCACACATCAGACGTATTTTAATAGGTCTGACGTGTACACGGCCTTTTTAGGGCCATACATGATAGGAAGTCCCTCTGGTGGCCGTCTGAGTGACGGCCACTGGAGGTATTCCTATCAATCAATGTAAACACTGTATTTTCTCTGAAAATACAGTGTTTACATTAGATTGCCTACAGGGAGCTATAGACCTCACCTGAACAACTACATTAAGCTGTAGTTGTTCAGGTGACTATAGTGTCTCTTTAAGCAGGACACATGCTCCTCTGGCACTGGGAGCAGCAGGGTGTGGCTGGCCTAGTATACATGCAGCCAGCCATTCTGTGCATTGTAGCACCACCGCCGGATATGCCTCCATACGATGGAGCATGCGATCGGCCGCAGCCCATGGGAGGGCCACAGCACAAAGCGGCCCCAGGGCGGAGGGCCTACCAAGAAATTTCCCAGTATTCCAGTAAGCCAGTCCAGCTCTGGGCCGCAAAGATAACCATTGTGGGCCACATGTTTGACATGCTTGCTAAAAGTTATCACTTCTTGCCTTATGGAACACAGAACAGACAGTCATATATGGTGAATTGTTACCAATTATTTGTGGACCCAGGACATACTTGAAAACGAGAGAAATCTCAATGTTTCTTTCCTGGTAAAATATTTTATAAATAAATAAATAATTGTTACCTGAATGTGTATTTTACTGTTGATGACTTTTCAAACAGGAAATGAAAAAGATTTGGATACTGATGTTTAGGAATACAGGGAGTGCAGAATTATTAGGCAAGTTGTATTTTTGAGGATTAATTTTATTATTGAACAACAACCATGTTCTCAATGAACCCAAAAAACTCATTAATATCAAAGCTGAATATTTTTGGAAGTAGTTTTTAGTTTGTTTTTAGTTATAGCTATGTTAGGGGGATATCTGTGTGTGCAGGTGACTATTACTGTGCATAATTATTAGGCAACTTAACAAAAACAAATATATACCCATTTCAATTATTTATTATTACCAGTGAAACCAATATAACATCTCAACATTCACAAATATACATTTCTGACATTCAAAAACAAAACAAAAACAAATCAGTGACCAATATAGCCACCTTTCTTTGCAAGGACACTCAAAAGCCTGCCATCCATGGATTCTGTCAGTGTTTTGATCTGTTCACCATCAACATTGCGTGCAGCAGCAACCACAGCCTCCCAGACACTGTTCAGAGAGGTGTACTGTTTTCCCTCCTTGTAAATCTCACATTTGATGATGGACCACAGGTTCTCAATGGGGTTCAGATCAGGTGAACAAGGAGGCCATGTCATTAGATTTTCTTCTTTTATACCCTTTCTTGCCAGCCACGCTGTGGAGTACTTGGACGCGTGTGATGGAGCATTGTCCTGCATGAAAATCATGTTTTTCTTGAAGGATGCAGACTTCTTCCTGTACCACTGCTTGAAGAAGGTGTCTTCCAGGAACTGGCAGTAGGACTGGGAGTTGAGCTTGACTCCATCCTCAACCCGAAAAGGCCCCACAAGCTCATCTTTGATGATACCAGCCCAAACCAGTACTCCACCTCCACCTTGCTGGCGTCTGAGTCGGACTGGAGCTCTCTGCCCTTTACCAATCCAGCCACGGGCCCATCCATCTGGCCCATCAAGACTCACTCTCATTTCATCAGTCCATAAAACCTTAGAAAAATCAGTCTTGAGATATTTCTTGGCCCAGTCTTGACGTTTCAGCTTGTGTGTCTTGTTCAGTGGTGGTCGTCTTTCAGCCTTTCTTACCTTGGCCATGTCTCTGAGTATTGCACACCTTGTGCTTTTGGGCACTCCAGTGATGTTGCAGCTCTGAAATATGGCCAAACTGGTGGCAAGTGGCATCGTGGCAGCTGCACGCTTGACTTTTCTCAGTTCATGGGCAGTTATTTTGCCTTGGTTTTTCCACACGCTTCTTGCGACCCTGTTGACTATTTTGAATGAAACGCTTGATTGTTCGATGATCACGCTTCAGAAGCTTTGCAATTTTAAGAGTGCTGCATCCCTCTGCAAGATATCTCACTATTTTTGACTTTTCTGAGCCTGTCAAGTCCTTCTTTTGACCCATTTTGCCAAAGGAAGGGAAGTTGCCTAATAATTATGCACACCTGATATAGGGTGTTGATGTCATTAGACCACACCCCTTCTCATTACAGAGATGCACATCACCTAATATGCTTAATTGGTAGTAGGCTTTCGAGCCTATACAGCTTGGAGTAAGACAACATGCATAAAGAGGATGATGTGGTCAAAATACTCATTTGCCTAATAATTCTGCACTCCCTGTAGTGCAATGTATTATGGGAGAATCAAATGATCTTTCATTCCAGAAGTATAACCATAAGCAGAAACCGTAAAATTACATGACCATAGACATAGAGCAACAACTCACAGGTGTAAATAATTAAGAGTGAGAAAAAGAGTTTTATGAAAGCATAAACACAACTGATCAGACACAACATCAAAACCACCTGCCTAATATCGTGGAGGTCCCCTTCATAAAACCACTATTAATAAGACAGACAACTTTTGCCTTATAGCTGAAGACAGCAAGGTGAATTGTTAGTGTAGGATTCACCTACACCAAGAGGTTTTGCCTTGACATGGCAGGTAAGCTTAGACTTAAATGGCCAATGGAGTGATACTAAATGGGGGCTATAGAAAGGGCTATAGAAGGGGGCGGAGCTTGCCGCGCTATCGCATGGACGTGTTTTGAGTGAGCTCCGTCCGAGCCGACCGGGAATCCGCTAACATCGGGCACAAACAACACGATGGGCCACCCAAAAAGAGCCTCCACTGCCCAGCACACCACCTCTAAGCAGCCGGTAACCAAATCCGGGGCACTCACGAAATTTTTCCACGATAATGCGGACCACCAAGCCGGCGCGCTAGGCCCCAATATGGCGCCGGAATCCCCGCACGACGGCTCAGCCCCTTCGAGCCCGGAGGGCTCAGATGCCTCCCAATACCAACCAGATAGTGGCCTGAAAGAGGTGCTGCGCAACCTGCCCTCCAAGGCAGACATCGCCGCCATGCTAGACAGGCTGGAGGTATCGTTCCAGACCAAACTGGAATCCCTGGGATCTGATATCCGCCAAGTGAAAGAGAAGGTAAATACCCTGGAAGATGATAGAGACTTACTGACCTCACAAATGCAACACATGCAGGATACAATTCAATCACACACAATGCATTTATCTGCCATGCACAGAATAATAGATGACATTGACAACCGAGGACGCAGGAACAACCTGAGAATCAAAGGGCTGCCCGAACAAGACCAAGAAGACCTCCATGCCACGTTAGCCGACATGTTTAACCGCATCCTGGGTCAAGCGGAGGACACACCGATCCTGTTGGACAGGGCGCACAGGGCCTTAAAGCCTCGCGGTACCCAGAGAGACCAGCCGCGTGATGTGGTATGCAGGGTACACTATTTCTCCACAAAAGAAGAAATACTTAGAGCCCTGCGACAAACCTCACAACCGCTACTATATCGGAATGACCCCATCCAAATCTTCCCTGACCTCTCCTGGCACACACTTCAAGCACGCCGCACACTGCGCCCTCTCACAGAAGCGCTAAGGGCCAGGAATATTCGATACAGATGGGGGTTCCCCCTCGCTCTCATTGCCACACACAATGGCAAAACGCACTCACTGGCATCAGCACAAGACATTCGGATATTCACAAGAGCTCTAGACCTTCCAGACATCCAAATCCCCGACTGGTACGGTGTCATGCCGACAGCTCCATCAGCCCCACTGCAACAGAGACAAAGGTGGCAAACCCCGGGAAGGAAGAGGAGGAATGACCGATCAGATAACTCGCCAGGCTCCAGCCCACCTACATGCACACAAAACCGCCACTAAAGTCCTTCAGCTCGCCCAGATTGTGGACCGCCATCACTGAACCGACTTCATGCTACTCCTCATCACTACCCCCCTATATGAACTTTCTACACGCGAAGACCATCTCTGACGCTTCTTCTCCTGCCTCGACATTCCCAGCAGTGCCCTCTCCCATCGGCACATCCCATGCGGACTCTGTGACGGGACTGATTGACTACCCCCCCGGTTTACTCATCTGACACCGGTCCGTCACCCACACGGACCCTACGAGTGCTCATGTGCTCCGCCACTACGACCAGGGACACGTAAGATGCTATGCAACCCACTCCAATCCTATCCCCTCCGTCCACCCCCTACTCCCACTATGCTCCATATTATGTACCCTACAAAATTTTAACGTTCTAATGTATTAATGAAATATCTTTGCATGCACCATTGTGATGTAAGCCTTTCGGCCCGAGGGTCCCTTTTAACCGCTTCCAGCTAGGCAACTGCTATATGGGCACCATCTCCCCTACTACCTTTATACAGTGTTGAACGTTTACAATCGAATACCCTGTATAACCCATTGTACTTAGTGATGCAATTTCTGTTTTTTAATAACGTATCTTTTATTGTCACTGATGGGAGCCTTCCCACGCGCCTCACACCAGTTGTCCTCACCTGCTGATCTATGCCCAGGGCAAACCGAGGCGTGGGGGAAGGCTCGGCGGACTGGCTCCAAAACTGTAATAGACTGTTCTCTTTTTTGTTGTTTGTTTACTGTTCCTATCTCGTCACACTGGAAGGGGCCCAAGAGTATAGCTGAACACCCGTCCTGGCCAACCAAGACAGGCTACTCATATCGCCAGAATGTCACCCCTTAGGCCCCACACAATCCCTAACACCCTCCCCCCCACCTATAAGCCACTCTACAACATCATAACTCCCAGAGAGGGATGCCAACCCCGAACCCCACCAACCGAAGTCGCACCTCACCACTCCAAGCAATGACTAAGGGTCCACAATCCCCATCCCATCTACGACTATTTTCCATACCACAGAGGATTCCCCCTCCCCGACCGCTCGGACGAATCTCTCATCTTACATGCAGAGATCCCATCTACCTCCCCCCTCCACAAACTACACTCTCCACACAGGCATACACCCCCCCCCCTACCCGCGACGTCGGGTACCGTCTCAACAACTGAGTAATCTATACTGGAAAACTACTCCAGTAGAGAGGCAACTACAACAATCCCCGGCTATCACCTGTAGATACCCGAGGACCGTTGCCACCGCTACCAGTTGTCCTGGAAACACATAACTTTATAAGGGCTCGCTAAACAGGTGTTTCCTTACTTGTAAATAGTTAGTATTTTATTGTTTAACCCCTCCCAGGGTCCGAGTTCAAAGACCTTCCACCCCCCCCCCCTCCCTCCCAAAGACATGGCCACTCTACGAGTAATCTCTCTCAACGCAAGGGGCCTCAATCTCCCCGAAAAGCGCTCACAAGTGCTATCAGAACTCCAGGCTCAGCACGCAGACATAGCATTCCTTCAGGAAACTCACTTCAAAGAAGGTGTAGCACCCACGCTCCATAACAAGCGCTACCCCACAGGCTATTTCAGCAATTACTCAGACTCCAAAGCGAGAGGAGTGGCCATATTAATAGCTGCCAACACTCCGTTTATATATAAAACCCACGAATCCACGGCCTCTGGGCGGTTACTTATGCTCAAAGGACAAATCGGCAGCACCACGATCACACTAGTCAAC